CTACACTTCCTGGCAAGTTCGCGTGTACTTGTGGATGGATTTGACTCAACATCTTCCTCTCATCAATATCCATTAATGGTCCCCTGGAGCTCTTCTTCCTTTCTAACGTCGTATCGCCACTGCTAAATTTAAACCAACGCTGCGTAGTGCACTGATCAAGGATATCTTTCCCCTCATATTTAATAATTTCAAGAGTTGCTTCAGCGACTGTGGATTTTTTTTTTCCAGTAGTAATAATAATAATAAGGCTTAGCGAAACCGAAGGTTCGATGCCGACACCACCAATCGCTTGTTACACACCTCCCTCCACCGTTCGCCGTCCAAACCCAGTCCCTTCAGATCGCCTTTAATGCAATCTTCCCACCTTCGCTTCGGTCTACCCCTCGGACGCTTACCATTCGGCACAGCAAATATTAACCTTTTAGGAATTCTCTCGTTACTAAGCCCAACAACTTTACAAGCCCATTTGATTCGCCGCGATGAAATTACCTCAATTATATTACCCGGATACAGCTCACGCAATTTGGCGTTGTGTAACCGTCTGAACTCTCCGGTTTACTCATCCTTCTTCTGTCCGAATATTCTACGTAATACTTTATTTTCAAAAACCATAAGACGCTGCTCATCCCTTAATGTAAGCGGCCAAGTTTCGCATCCAACTGCATCCATAAAGAATAGGCTAGATAATTGTTTTATAGATTCTAATTTTTAAGTTTCGGGACAAGAGGCGCGAACTAAGTAGTTTTGTCACAGAAAAATAACAAGCATTTTCCGCCTTCAGTCTAACCTTAATCTCTTCTTCAATTTCGTTTTTTCTAGTTATCGTAGAACCTAGATACCTAAATTTATCTACCTGTTCAAACATATTACCATCTATATCGATATCACCAGTAGTATCGCCATTTTTGCAGCTAACCATATATTTTGTTTTATCCATGTTTATTTCGAGTCCTAGTTCTTTAACGGCTTTCATTAACGTTGTCGTATTTAGTTTTATAGTTTCAATGTCTTCGCTTAACAGTACAAGATCATCAGCATAGCCCAGCACGGATGTTTTCCCGCCCAGATCCAACCCTTTCTCGGTTCGCATTACCTCCCTAATGGCATGTTCTAATGCCAAATTGAATAGGAAAGGCGAAAGAGAATCCCCCTGTTTTAAGCCCGAACGAACCTCAAATTTTTCGGACAAATTATTACCGATTCTAACTTTATTGAGTGTCTCCGTCAAGCACATCCTGACTAGATTTACTAGTTTTTTTGGAATCCCCTGCTCGATTAGAATATTATACAGTTTCTGGCGGTCAATAGAATCGTAAGCCTTTTTAAAATCTATATACAGCTGGTGAACAATACCGTTGTACTCCAATTTTATCTCTAATATTTGCCGTAAAGAAAATATTTGATCAATAGTCGAACGATTCCGTCTAAATCCGCATTGGTAGTCTCCGATAATTTCCTCGACGTATTCCGTGATTCGACTGGTTAAGATTAAAGTGAATATTTTATAACATACCGGAAGGAGTGAAATTCCTCGATAGTTATTACAATCCGTCCTCGGACCCTTTTTGTGAATCGGAATAAGAATAGATTCTTTCCATTCTTCAGGTAATTTCTCGTTCACCCAGATCTTTTTAACCAACCGATGTATTTTAGAAACTCCAGCTTCCCCGCATGCCTTAATTAGTTCAGTAGGAATATTATCGATTCCCGCTGCTTTATATGATTTTAATTTTCCGATAGCTACTTCAACTTCCTCTTTACTTGGTCCTTCTATTAACGGTTCAGCACTCTGGTACTCAGAAGGAGGACACGGATCATAATTTCCCGTATTTAAAATATTGTCAAAGTGGTCCTTAAACTTATTCAATATGTCAACCGGATCGGTCAGAATATTGTTATTATCATCCCAAATTCCAGACGTTACGGGCCCTACATATTTACGTGATCTATTTATACCTTTGTACATGTCTCTTACGTTATTTTCGATTCTATTTTTTTTTTCCAGTAATGCCTTAAAAATACGAGAATTTCGTAGGACATTGTCTGTCCTGTTTCTTCTTTGAAACAAATAATTGACGAATAACCAATTCCCTCCTCTCAAACCTCTACAAGCCTTTAGAGCGAATAGTTAAATCCAGCTTTTTCATCTATTTGGGACATAATAAGCTCCTAAACTCCCACCAGTTTGGATTTCGGCCTGGTTATTCCACACAGTCTGCCCTCATCAAAATTTTCCAAGATCTTCATTCAACCATGGACCAGAAGAATCTCGTCTTCCTTGATCTCCTAAACAAATTAAATGAAGGTAAGTATCACGATCTTCCCCTACCATCTTGTGCTCTGTGATGGTTCTATTCCTTCCACTTCTGTCGTATCCAATACGTCCTTGTACCCAATGATACTCCCTCTGGTTCTCGACTCATGTCCCAAGGCGTCTTCCTTTTCTCCATCTTCACTCTCCATCCAAAAAGTTTGTTCAAATTTATCAATCCTTTGACTCTGGTAATGCAATCATGTAAGTACAGGAAGACATCAACGGAATAGGTGCTTGGGTCTCTCGAAATAAGCTTACCCTAAATGCCGAAAAGAGAAAAGCCATAATGATTGGTTTCTCTTCACTCCTTAAAGTCTTTCCAGAGCAGTCTTACCTAACCCAGAACAACACTCCTATCTCATTCCATGCCTCAGTTAAAAACCTCGGAGTCACCTTTGACCAAACTCTCTCATGGAAACAAGATATCTATTTAGGCAAACGGGAATAATCCAGTATGATATCCAACCACAAGCCTTGAAGAATGGTGTAAAAACTGGAGGATTAAAATAAATTCTAATAAATCCCATCAAATCACCTTTACCCTTCGACGTAAACCTATGACCTCATGTCCCACAGTATCCTTTAATAATACCCCACTTATCCCTGTTGAACAAATCCGATACCTTGGACTTCACTTGGACAAACGTCTAACTTGGAATTCTCATACCAGACTGAAACGACAAGAAACCGCTCGACGTTTCCGACTACTCCAACACTTACTAGACAAACGGTCTAAGCTTCCAGTAAATTACAAAAGACTTATATACATGAGTACAATAAGACCTATTTGGACTTACGGAGTTGAACTTTGGGGCTCCACTAAGCCATCGAATTCCTCTCGTATCCAATCCTTACAATCCAAAATCCTTCGGAAAATCCTCAATGCTCCTTACTTTGTCACCAATAAAATAATCCATAATGACCTTAATGTTCCTTATGTTTCCGATTTGGCCCAATCCAGATACCAATCTTTCCATAATAAACTTCAGAACCATCCGAATCCTCTCGTCTCTAACCTTGCTTCCTCTTCTATTCCTGATAACCCTCCGAGGCGTCTGAAAAGAAGATGGCCTCGAGATCTCTTATTGTAAATACATTTTGTTTTTAGAGTGCTACCAGTGGGTAGTTTCTCAACAAGTCATTTCATGTTTTTATTTTCTGTTATCAAATTTACTTAATGTATTTAATTTTTTAATACAGTTGTAAATATCATGTATAAATAAATAAATAAAAAAATATCCAACCATCTCACAGGTATCAGTATGTGCTAGCATAATTCCTATATCTGGTAATCAGAACTCAGCGCCCAACCTCTATACTACAGAGCATGCATTTTAAATCATCCATCGAATCCGTCCAACCTGATATCGCCCTTCTGACTTCTATCCTCCTTCTCACAGAACTGCAGCGTTTGATAAATCCTTCGTAACCCGAGCTGCCTCTTTCTGGAACACCATCCCACTTATCTTCCACCATGCTTCAACCCTTTCCTCGTTCAAAGCTCTCCTCTTCAAACACCTTTTCCTCGCCCAGTCTAATTAATATTATGTTATATTGAACTTACTTTTTCCGATCAAGAAATGTTTTCCCGAGTTCATTTTAGTGCTTTTATCCACGTAATTATTATTTTTATTATTATTAACATTATCATTTTAATTTATATTTCTTTTTTATTTACTTTTTTTATTGCAGTTTTGTTGCTTTAATTACTATAAAATTTATATTACTGCTTTTAGTACAATTCTTGCTAATTTATAGATTGGATATAAATTTATATATTTACATATGTACTGCCTGACTTTTATTTTTATGTAGAGCACGATGAATGGAGTCAGTGTTATTTTGATGATTTTGATTAATTTTCGGACTAATAGACATGACCGAAATTCACAATCGTATTCTGTTTGTTTGTTTATTTAGGCTTTAAGGCGTAAGACCCTAGGGTCATCAACGCTTGTGAGTTGGTTACATTTGTTAACTCTTCAGAGGAGAATTAATAATTAACAATAGATAGAGTAATAAATAAAAAAGGTATTTAAAAACATATAAAGGATGAAATATATTAAAATAAATATTTAAAAAAAAGAAAGAAAATAAAAAAAAATTATAATTATTCTTATATTTTATTTAATAGCCTATGAATTTTAAGAAATTTGATCACTGTTTTTATGTTTGATTCGTTGTTGCTTAATACCGCTGATATACCCGGTTTTAAAAATAATCGATTTAGGCTTGAAGTATAATAAGTGTATTCTTGTAAAATATGGTTGACTGTGAGAAGGCTATTGCAATGCTGACAATTTGGTGGTGGCTGCCCAGTGATTAGATGTACAACAGTCGTATTCTTTATATTTAAACTCCATTAAAAATTGTTATCAAAAATGTTTTGCAATATCTAAATTTTGGAATCCAGTAATCTCTGATTAAAGTGAGTGTTAAGTGCAAGGTGTGTAATGCATGCACCAGTTTTTTTTTATTTGAAATGATAGCTATGTTACAAAGATTGCAAACCATTTTATAATGAAAAAATAGAACAAAAAAAATATTCGATATGTAATAATATTGCTGCACGTATCTGCATTATTCATGACATTTTGGGATTTTTCTTAGTCAAAGACAAAAAAACTTAATTTTGAGGTTATGACAACTTAATTAAAATTGTATAGTATAAATATATTTGTTAAATAAATAGATATTTATTATTGAATATGAAACGAGTATAGGTACAGTAATATATTAGTAAGTCGTTATACACAGTGGAAGATGTTAAATTAATAAAATTTATCGAATCGAAATAAATATGTTTTATTCAAATGGCTAATCTATATAAGTGAGCATTGTTTTTAATCAGCTTTGGAGTTTATTCCTTCGACTTCTTCGATTTCTTCTTGTCCTTCTTGCCTGAAGATGTTTCTTCTGCACCTTTGCAAGAAAGCTTAGCAGCATTGAAGGTGTAACCTCCAGGACACTGGTACAGTTCTGGAGCCAAAGTTCCGTCATGTTCGACACAGATGTAGTATAGGTTAGGGTTGGTTGGTACAGCACCGATCTGAAATTGGATTAGAAACAAATCAGATTAATTAATTTAATTTTTTTTGTTCTTACTTAAAACAAGACTAGTTTCTAGTAAAACAGAATTCAAAAAATTTTGTTCAAGTAGAGTTAGTAAATAATTAATTACTTAACGTTACAATTGAGCCGAAAGTAAAACAAAGATAAAGTTATTATAAAAGGCAAAACTTTGTGTATTTGTATACTATTTTTCCCTGTTCTCGTCTGTGAAGATTAAGATTACAACAATAAAACATTAAAACTCCTATTTTTTTTTTAATTTATATTTGCAAAAATAATTATGGCTGAAGAAAAGCGGGGGGGGGGAGGGCGGAGCTACGTCAGGAGGGTATAGCCACAATTACGTCATAACTTGTCATCGCCTAGCTCATACGTATTAGCTTAAACTAGTGTTTCCAGCTTCAATACTTCCATCCAAGAAATTTTTGCTTTCAGTTCTACCCCATCATCTCTAAATAAAAATATTTAGTTTGAAATGTATTATATTAGTTTTTATAAACTATGCCGAAGCTGTAGTTTATTCAAAGAAGTTTCAACTTGCAGTCCCGGTCGGGAAGGTAGCCACAAACTTTGAAGGTGAAGTGAAAGACATTCTTTTAGGCCTTAAGAGATTAATTGAACGGAAAGACAAGAAAGTTGCTTTCTTTGTTGACTCACAGGCAGCCATTTTGTTTCTCCAGAATGGATATAATATGAATCCAAATGGCACTAAATGCCATATGTATTTGAACCGATTAAAGGAAAATGGAACAGAAGTCGCTTTCCAGTGGCTACCAGGCCATTGCGGGCTCCACGGAAATTATGAAGCTGACAAACTGGCCAGAATAGGTTCTGGAATGAACCAACCAGATATTCCTCTGAGCATGGATTCAACGAAAAGAATTATAAGACAGACCCTCCAAAGTTCACTGAAAGAGAAATATGTGCAAACAGAGTGGATTGCTGGAAGAAAGGTCTCAAGGCAGGATTCCCAGAGACCTCCCTAGAGGGCAAGCCGTGGCATGCATTAGAATGCTCACAGGCCATGATTTCCTTCAGAAGCACCTCCACCGCATCGGTATAAAAGATAGCCCGACATGTCCTCTTTGTTCCTTGGATATGATAACAGGAGAACATCTTGATACATGCCCTGCATTACAGGACATAAGATGTTCCTTTAGTAAAATGGACAACCCTTATGATAGGAGATCCAAATTATATTGGACTGCAAGAGCACGCAATGCTGATGAAGCAGGCGTTACTTAGGCGTAAGAAAAAAAAAAGTTTTTATAAACGGATGTTTATAAAGCAGAGCTGAAAGACATTTCTACAGCGGTATACGTCACTCCATGGTGGACTTAGGGCACACCCCTAGTCCCTACCATTCCTCTCAACCGCACTATAGTGTTATATCAATTTTTTAGCGAAATGTGAACCTCTTTTGATTATTTAAAAATTGTAAGCTCAAATGTATGTACTTTTTTCAATTATGTATTTTTTTCCCATGTAAGTACAGACTTATGTCCATCAACACCTATTTGTTCATGGTTACATTGTCTATCAAACTCCCAATGATTATTCTTGTTTTGGGAGGGGAGGTGTGAGCTGTAGATGTATGTGGAAGTTTAAGCTTCTTACCTGGAGCCTTTGAGAGCAGTCTGGAACTGGTCTATCAATGCAGGCCGTAGTGTTGAGGGGATATCCACAGCTTGATGACAAGGCATCATATGATGTACCCTCCGGGCACTGGAAGCTCAACCGTCCAACAGCTCCAACGCAGACGTGGTATTTCTACAACAAAAATTTATTATATGTTAATATTTATTGTATTACATCCAAACAGCTGTCTTTCTATCATACAAGATCTTATCTCACAGGAGTTAAACTACCATCAATCTGTAAGTCGCATGCACAATACTTTTTTTTCGTTCCAGGCCATGCGTGGTACACGTTGATAATAAAAGCTCCTCTTAAGGCCGTTTTATACGGTTATATGTTTCTTAATCAAAGCTTTATTCTATAAATTGTAGTTAAACAGTTTGGTTTTCAATCACTAGACGAGATAACCATAAACTTAATAGACTATTTTAAATGGTTAAGTTTCTTTAATAAATTTTTTTCCACTAGGTGTGCTAGATAAGTTAAACACGCGTTACCCAGCAACTAAATAAACCGTAGATTACAAGTTCAAATCCGAGTGGCAGGAGCATTAATCCCTCGCTCTCTCTTCTATCCCGGTAAAACACTCGTATAGTCTAAAAGGCGAAGAAGAGAAGTAAAAAGAAAAAAAAAGGCGCTTGCCACTTGTTAGGAATTTTTGGAAAAGTATTAAAACAGTTAATTTTAGCCTATCAATAAAGCAACTGTATTAGAGTAATGTTGAATGAAATCAAATTCAAATATTACATAATATAAAACAGCTTAAGACATCAATTTAATTTTTTTACGGAGGGTAGTGTTGCCCAAATCCGAGACCGATACGAGTCTTGCAAATTCAGTCTTGGTCTTGCGCAAGAGTCTTGCAGCTACCTATTAGCTTATTACTATAGCAATATTACTGTAGTTCTTTAGGTAGGAGAAATCTAACTAAGCCCGAATGAAAAATTAGAGTTAAATGCAAAAGTATATTGGTTATACTTTTGACAACTAAATAATCATAGAAAATAAACCCAAAATCTTTACATCTTTACTGAGTGGAGATCACCTTTAAGAAGTTAAGTGAACTGTTTTAGAGCTAATGTTGTAATATTGGAATAACTCATAATAATATATGCATATATATATATATATATATAAGACTCAAGCCAAAAGGCTTGCAATAAGTGTTACCCAAATACGAGACCGGGACGAGTCTTGATCTTGCAAACTCAGTCTTGGTCTTGGTCTTGCGCAAGAGTCTTGCAGCTACCTATTAGCTTATTACTATAGCAATATTACTGTAGTTCTTTAGGTAGGAGAAATCTAACTAAGCCCGAATGAAAAATTAGAGTTAAATGCAAAAGTATATTGGTTATACTTTTGACAACTAAATAATCATAGAAAATAAACCCAAAATCTTTACATCTTTACTGAGTGGAGATCACCTTTAAGAAGTTAAGTGAACTGTTTTAGAGCTAATGTTGTAATATTGGAATAACTCATAATAATATATGCATATATATATATATATATATATATATATATATAAGACTCAAGCCAAAAGGCTTGCAATAAGTGTTACCCAAATACGAGACCGGGACGAGTCTTGATCTTGCAAACTCAGTCTTGGTCTTGGTCTTGCGCAAGAGTCTTACATTTACTTATTAGCTTATTACTATAGAGATATTACTGTAATTTTTTAGATAGGAGAAACCTAACTAAGCCCGAATGAAAAATTAGAGTTAAATGCAAAAGTATATTGGTTATACCAATTATTAACATATAGTAACAAAGATTGTCAAGTATTAGTGACTATTTTGCCTTAAATTTTATTTTAAAAGTCTATTTTCTTTACCACTCCTGGTCTTGGTCTTGCAAAGTGCAAGACCAAGACCGATTTTGGACAACACTAGTACCAGAAGATTAACCTAATTTTGTAACTGTACTTAAAATATTGTTTGAATTCAATTCCTGTAAAAAAAATGAATTCGTGATTAAAAAATAAATTTACATTTTTATTAATTCCACTTAATGGGAATTTAAAAATTTACCATGAATAATGGTGAAGATTTAAATGTCGTTCAGAGATGAGCTGTATTATTTTTAAACTTGATTATGGGTCCACCCCGACATTTTTAATATTAAAATTAGTACAACGAGTCATACTGACAAAAATACAAATGTGAAGTGGGGAATAAGACAGCATCTTTTCATGCTACAAAAAATTTTCAAAGTGTTTAATCAATTTGGTCCCATGAGCTAACGATAATTTTTTTCACCGTTAAGTTTATAGACCAGAGTGAATCAAAACATGAAATTGTTCAAGAAACTTAACCGATAAAAAGAGTACTTATAATAAAAATATTATATGAGAAGGAATTAGTCGAGGGTGCGGTCAAAAAAATAAAAAAAATTAAAATATATAAATAATTTTAATTTTTGCCGACGTTTCGACCCACTTTGCAGGTCGTCTTCAGGGCGTTGGATGTGGCACTGCGGGAGGCGGTTGAAACAGTCCCGCAGTGCCACATCCAACGCCCTGAAGACGACCTGCAAAGTGGGTCGAAACGTCGGCAAAAATTAAAATTATTTATATATTTTAATTTTTTTTATTTTTTTGACCGCACCCTCGACTAATTCCTTCTCATATCATATCAACGGTCAACCAACTCTACATCATTATAAAAATATTATAATATTAAAATCTCAAACATCTTTACCGTGCAGTCATAAGGGTCGGGATAGAAGCCATCTTCTGAACACTGGAAGGGCCTGTAGTTGCAGAGAGCTCCTTGGACACATTGCCCGTCGACACAGTTCTCGTCAGCGTGGCAGGACTGGTTCACCGATGTTATGCTCCCGTCTACGTTGGCGATGCAGACAGACACCGTGTCGCAAGTGGCACAGATCTGGCCTGCTCCAGTGCATTGCCTCACTGGTTGGCTGCTGGAGACTGTGGATACTGGAGCCTCAGCCTGGCCTCGACTGCTCAGCACCTATCAGAAGAGAAAACAAAGGAACTTAGAAAGAATAATAATTTGTGAATGAAAATTATATCTATCCTTCCGAAATTCGGGTCTTTTTTCCATTATTATGCGGCTGTTATTATGTTTTTTCCCATGACCATGTGCCGGAACATTCTGCACTTTGTCTAGAGGATTTTAGCTAAGCAAAGCATCCCAGTGCTAGACCATCCGCCTTAAATATGTATGGAATCGAATTACAATAATTTATAGCATCAGTCTGCTTATTTAATAGCAGCAACTCTTTTTGTTTATGAGATAAAATTACAACGCCAACACTGTCATCACCACCTATGCCGATGACACGTGTATCCTATCAGTTAATAACGATCCATCTATTGCATCCCAAACTCTTCAATCACACATCACAAGTCTTGAAGAATGGTGTCAAAAACTGGAGGATTAAAATAAATTCCAATAAATCCCATCAAATTACCTTCACTCTTCGTCGTAAACCTATGACTTCCTGCCCTACAGTATCCTTCAACAATAGCCCTCTTATCCCTGTCGAACAAATTCGATACTCAAGACTCCATCTTGACAAACGACTCACTTGAAACCCCCATACCAGACTGAAACGACTAGAAACCGCCCGACGTTTTCGAGTACCGCTCTAAGCGTTCAATCAATTACAAACGAATCATATATAAGACAATAATAACATCTATTTGGAATTGAGCTTTGGGGCTCCACTAACCCATCGAATTCCTCTCGTATCCAATCCTTACAATCCAAAATCCTTCGTAAAATCCTCAACGCTCCTTCCTTTGTCACAAATAACATCATCCATAAAGACCTTAATGTTCCATATGTTTCCGATTTGGCCCAATCCGGATACCAATCCTTCCATAACAAACTGCAGAACCATCCGAATCCTCTCGTTTCAAACCTTGCTTCCTCCTCGATCCCTGATAACCCTCCGAGGCGTCTGAAAAGAAGATGGCCTCGGGACCTTCTAATATAGAACTTTAATTTGATTTCTACCAATGGTTTCTCTTCATGTTGTACATATCACGTTACCAATGTCACATTTGCTTGTTGTATTTTCCATGTAAAACAGTTGTAAATTTCATTAAAATAAAAAAAAATAAAAAATTACAATGATGTACGTGAATGATTGGAATATGCAGGGTGTTTCAGGGTTAAGTGGTCACATTGCAAAAATTAACTAAGGACCTAAAAACAAGAAAAAAAAATTCCTCGAAGGTATGTCCGCAAACACTTAGTTTAGGAGATATTCACATCAAAATATTTTCGTTGTTATGAATTATTTACATTATATAAAGTAAATACAACTAATTTAATTGTTCCCAGTACTTTATTAATTAAACTTAAACATTAAATTCATATTAAATGTTGTTGAAAGTGATTTCCTTGAGCATTAAGACAGGCTCGGCATCTTTCTTCAACAGCAGCAGTGGCAGAACGGCATTGGATATGTTATTGTTTCAGAAGATTCAATTATCCTTCTTCGTAAGGAATTAAGGTTATTGACCGGACTTTATGTTTAATATCACCCCAAACATTACCATTGCAAAAACCGTATAAAACACCATATCGGCAAATTCACCATTAGTATAAATGTAAGGCATAATGATGAGTACTCTGCCAAAGCCTCTTACAAACTGATAAATGTTATTGAGAGTTCCCAATGCTAATTCCAAATAGTAATAATCCTTATGTAGTCAATAGTTTTTATACAGTTAGGGATAAAAGGCCATATTAGTATTCTATCTAATCCATCTCCTAAATAAAGATTTTGCGGACATATCTTCACTTTGAGTTACATTTAGTATAAATGTTAATGTTTAATGTTTTTTCACATATTGCAAATAATTCATAAGAACGAAAATCTTTAGGAATGAATATTTTCTCAACAAAGCGTTTACGAACATACCTTCAGAGGAATTTTTTTTTCTTTTTTTTTTTTTGAGGTCCTTTGTTAATTTTTGCAGTTTGGTCACTTAACCCAAATTATTGATACAAAATAAGTTTTAAAAATAATGCTTTTCCAAAAATTTATTAAATCTCAATTCAAAGTATTTTTACACCGAGATTTAACATGAGGGTTGGTTGATCCTTATTGTATCAAGTAACCAACTAAATCTTCCGAATCCTAATGTTTAAGTTTTTGTAAAAATAATTCAAGGAATTGTAATATTTCATTTATTTTTATTAAATTTTCTAATTAAAAGTTATTAATCTCTATATCAAATGACATTTTTTTAATAAAAGAAATCGTCTTTAAATACTTACAAATGCAGAGAGGATGAAACAGCTGACTGTGTATGTTGTTGCTCTTGCCATTTTCTTCGAACTGGATTATCACCATGCTTCTTTCCTTTTTATACTCGAACATTATCTTAACAAACCTTGTTTATTCGATATTCCAAAACATGTTACAGGAAGAATAAACATTCTATAATGTTTGGTGTAGCATAATACGTCATTACATAAGTTGGTTATGCATTTTCTAAATAGCAAAAACTGAGGTGTCTTTACTAATCTATCTTATCTGGGATTTAGTTCTATTTCGAAAATAATGTATATTAAAATTTTATTATAAATTTGTCAAGAATACATTGCAGGAATATTGATCTTAATTGATTGAATAATATATTTAAAAAATCTGTTGGGCGCATCACATAACTTTCACTTACTCTTTGATCTATGCTCAACTTTGAATAGAATTTTCTGACCATGTTGGGCTTTTAGGAAATTCCGTAAACTTTTGAAAAAATATATACAATATCGAAAAAAAAGTGTCAACTTTTTGAGTTATTCAAAATTTAATTGTACCATCCTTTGTAACTCTTTTTTCCAGCTTCTTTTCGTTGAAGTATGTTATATAGATAAATTTAAAGAGTGTCGAGAAAATGACTTTAGCCAAGTGTCATTGAAATTGGTACGTTTGTTTAGGCGCTATAGTCTATAGCAACGCAGGTTTTTCTTTCAAAAGTTATATATATATATATATATATATATATATATATATATATATATATATATATATATATATATATATATATATATATATATATATATATACTTAAGGGATTCTAGCTGAGAAAATACTTCATAAAGGATGAGAACATCAACCTTTTAACCAATCAGAGGAAATCTATGAGGGATGCAAATAAATTAGTATTTAGCTAAAGTCGATCTATGGCTGAATGGAAGGCATAATTGGCTGAATAGAAATCTATGGACAAAAGTTGAGGATGATGAAGATAGACAGGAACCAGGAAATAAATTTTACTAAGGAGGATAGTAGAATTAATATTCTTACTTAATTAATTTAAAGAAGAAAATAACATATTTTTTGATTATATTGAAATTTATATTTCAAAAATAATAGTTTTTCAAAAAATTTTATAATATTGAAGGATATATCGACTCTCGATAGTATCGATATTTCAAGTCTGATATTTTTATAGTGTTGATAATTACCTATAGGCCTAAATTTTTTTTAAGGATTGGATACGAGAGGAATTCGATGGTTTGGTGGACCCTCATAGCTCAACTCCATAAGTGCAAATAGGCCTTATGATAGTCATGTATATGAGTCTTTTGTGATTAATTGGAAGGTTGGAGCGTTTGTCTAGTAAGTGGTGGAGTAGTCGGAAACGTCGAGCGGTTTCTTGTCGTTTCAGTCTGGTATGAGGATTCCAAGTTAGACGTTTGTCCAGGTGGAGTCCTAGGTAACAGGCCTAATTTAATTTAAAAGTTACTGTTTTTCAAAAATGTTTGTAATATCGGTGGAAATACCGACTCTTGATAGTATCGTCGTTTCAAGTCCAATATTTTGATGGTATCGATAGTTATAGTCTGATAATTCTATCGATGTAGTGACTTCAAAATCCCACCCCTACCTCCTAGATAGCACAGTTGCCATGGGATACATATCACATTTTGTTTAGATTTAAAAAATTAAAATATCTATTCTTTGATGCTCTTCATTTTTGTTTGTTTGTTTACAAACGAAAAACAGCTTTGTTTTTAAGGTGTAAAATAAAATGATTTCAATAACAATATTATAATTTAAAAAAAAAAGAATATATCGGCATATCTACAAAAACATATATGTAACGGGCTGATCTACAGGGGGAGGGGCTTTGAGGCTGGAGCCCCCTAAAAATGGTAAAATATAACCATGTTTTTTTGGAAAAAAATATTGAAAAATTATCTCTTAACGTATCATTGTTCGTGTAATTTAAAAGGACTTTAGGAATCACTTAAATTCCATTTCATACGTTTCTTTCTTTTTTTCCAAAGTAATTATCGAAGCCTACCCCAAAATTAAATCCTGGATCCGCTAGTGATATATATATATATATATATGGATTGTTAGTGTCTATGAATATTGAAACTTGGTGAAGTATTCGAGATTCCACACCTGAACGAAACTCTAAACTCTTCTGACAATACGTTAATATTTCTTTTTTATATTTACACAGCATATGATTCCAGAAACTTTCTCAATAATGCCATGCATAGATGTATGGAACGGAAAGAGCTGTAATATTTATAACATTAATGTTAATATTTATAATATAATAATATTTATATCAATTGATTTGTTTTGTTTTTTGCAATAAATAAGAAAATTATATTACTAAACACGGGCGGTTTTACGGGGGAGGGGAGGGCTTTCGGGCTGAATCTCCTCCCTCCAAAATGGTAAAATATAACCATGTTTTATGGAAAAATATATTAAATAATTATCTCTTAAAGAATTATTGTTCGTGTAATTACATTTAAAAGGACTTTAGGAATCACTTAAACACCATTTCATATAGGTAGTTAGTTTCTTTCTTTTTTCCAAAGTAATTGTCGTCAATTTTTATGAAAAAAAAAGCTTTCGGGCTTAAGTCCCCCTCCTCCCTCCCAAAATTAAATCCTGGATCCGCTAGTGTTACTATACATAATATAATTTGACCCAAGAAAAAAACAAATCGATTAATACATGGAACATAACCCAAATGAATTCCATTTAACATGAATTTGGTTGCAACTTAAATCTATTAGCTCCTTACGTTCCGAACAACATGTATATAAGAATTCATACACATTGGCTTGAAAGTCAAATGAAATGCCAGTTTTCAAAAGGCAAACAAGCACATATGGATTTTCTCATTTTTTTTTTTTTTTTATTTCATCACTGACCTAATCCAACAATCAACATCTCTTTTAGCTACAAGTAAATCATTTTTATTAGATTATTAGGTCTACACAAAACAATTGATTTGTTTTTTAGTTTAATGAATAAGAAAATCATATTACTATACATAATATAATTTGACCCAACAGAAAACAACTCGATCAATACTTTAATTCATGGACCATAACCTAATGAATTCCATTTGACATGAATTTGGTTGTAATTAAAATCTATTAGCTCCTTATGTATCGAACAACATGTATATATATAATTCATACACATAGGGTTGAAAGTGAAATGAAATGCCAGTTTTCAAAAGGCAAACTAAAAACAAAATTTAACTATATTAATTTATTTTTTAAAAAATTGTGTCTCTAATATATTTTTCTCAGCTCCCATCGAATTCCCTAAAACTTGTCCACAATGTCGGTTTTCATTAAAATAATTTTTCTCATTTTATAAAATAAGGCTCTGTGTATTTTTTCACCATATTTATTTCAATTTTCATAGCTACGTTTCGGCCGGTAAGCCATTTTATTCAACCATGCTTTTTACATGTAGTCCAAAGTGTCCAAACTACATGCAAAAATCATGGTTGAATAAAATGGCTTACCGGCCGAAACGTAGCAATGAAAATTAAAATAAATATGGTGAAGAAATACACATAGCCTTACTTTATAATATTAGAAAATTTTCACCTAAAACAAGCACATATGGATTTTCTCATTTTTTATTTTTTTTTTATTTCATCACTGACCTAATCCAACAATCAACATCTCTTTTAGCTACAAGTAAATCATTTTTATTAGATTATTAGGTCTACATAAAATAATTATTTGTTTTTTAGTGTAATGAATAAGAAAATCATATTACTATACATAATATAATTTGACCCAACAGAAAAAACAACTCGATCAATACTTTAATTCATAGACCATAACCTAATGAATTCCATTTGACATGAATTTGGTTGTTATTAAAATCTATTAGCTCCTTATGTATCGAACATCATGTATCACGGGCGGATCTACGGGGAGGGGGGGGCTTTCGGGCGCTGAAGCCCTCCCCAAAATGGAAAAGTATAACCATGTTTTATGGGAAAAAAATTTTAAAAATACCTCTTAAAGTATTATTGTTCGTGCAATTACATTTAAAAGTACTTAAGGAATACCTTAAACACCATTTCATATAGGTAGTTAGTTTCTTTCTGTTTTTCCAAAGTAATTGTCGTTATTTTTATGAAAAAAAAAGGTTTCGGGCTGAAGCCCCCCTCCCCAAAAATTAAATCCTGGATCCGCTAGTGTCATGTATATATATAATTCATACACATAGGGCTGAAAGTCAAATGAAATATCAGTTTTCAAAATACAAACAAAATTTAACGATATTACTTTATTTCAAAATAAATTTTGTTAGCTTTAATATATTTCTCTTAATGCCTATCGAATTCCCTTAAACTTGCTCGCAATGTCGGTATGCACTAAAACAATGTTTCTTATTTATTTATTTTTTTATTTTTTCATCACTGAACTAACCCCACAATCAACTTCTCCTTGAGCTACAAGTAAATTATTTTTATTAGATTATTAGATCGACATAAAATTTAAGTATGATGTAAAACAGGAAGTACATTTCAGACCCCCAAATCCTAACAATATTGAACCAAAATCAGGCACTATCACTTATTGTTTACGAAAGTAACAATGACGTAATAAAGTTTGCTTTAAGTGCGTAACAGTTTACGTAAGAAAGACGGTTCAAATGTTACAGAATATTTACCATTATTGTAAGGAGTGGAATCAGGTGTTGTAAAGATAATTTTCTATATAAACCAAAATCAAGCCGATTTCACTCCAGAAGACGCTAAGAGAAAGAAACATGTTTTTCAATCTGATACTTGCGGCATTTGTGAGTATACAAAAATATGTACACATATATTAAATAATATATTTTTACTACTATACTCTAGCGGGCCCAGGATTTAATTTTTTTTGGGGGGGAGGCTTCAGCCTTAAAGATTTTTTTTTTTCATATAATAACGATAATTAATTTGAAAAAAAAATGAACTACCTATATGAAATGGTGTTTAGGTTATTCTTGAAGTCCTATTAAATGTAATTACTCGAACAATAATACTTTAAGATATAGTTTTTAATATTTTTTTAATAAAACGTGGTTATATTTTACAGTTTTGGGGGGGGGCTTCAGCCCGAAAGTCCCCTCCCCCCCCCCGTGGATCCGTCTGTGCTATTATATATTGCTAGCTTTTTTATTTATTTTATTATTTTATTTATTTATTTAGAGAACATTTTAGCACAATGTTTGTTTAATTTTGTTTGTAGATCTCCTGGGTATTTTCTTTTAATATTATAACGATATTATAAGGGTGAAGATCTTTGTCAGGATTTTCATTCAAAATTTCTTTAAACAAACAAATTTTTACTGCAAATTCTGATAATTTATTTTCACCTTATAATCTTAACAGTCAACTACTTATCCGTCTCTAAAATAATATTATAACGAATATTTATTTTTTATTTTTAATAACATGTTACAGAGAATTCGTTTGTTCTTACTAGTATTTCTTGTATTTCTCATAATAACATAATTATTAATAGAATCCTATAGAAAGCGCAGTTGCATCTTGCAACAATAATCTAATTGACGCAAAGCAGATGGGAAAGAAAATTTCATTCCATACTTTTCGAAAGGAAGCTCGAAGAAAAGATTTGATTTTAAAACGCATACGTAAAAATATTGTAAAAAAAAACAAATATTGTAAAAAAAATTTACTAATCTTTTTCTTAGGAAAGAAAATTTAGAAATTAATGAAGAACTGGTAAAGGCTTTCTTTCAGCAACGGGTGTTTATTAGAATCAAATATTTAAATACTTTTAAATACCCAAAGATTCTTACAACAATTAAGAAAACATAAAATCAAAGGCAAAAAACTTGAGAAAAATCACTTCATAGGATTACTTATGACATAAAAATGTAATATTTACAAAAATTCACGGGAATTAAATACTTTTTCTTTTTTTTAATATTTCTGTTATTTTATATTATGCTCTGTATTTATTTGAAATATTTAAAAAATATTATTGTGGCACTTAGCAAAAAATCATACATCAACTTGTTAAATTACATTTTATTTGCTTCAGAATAAACCAAATATCAAATCAACCTTTCTCTCACCTTTCAAATTTATTAAAATTAATAAGTTATTTGGCAATACAGTATTGATTTAATGTATAAAAGTAAATAATAATCTTAAAATGTCCAGAAACAAAGGTCGGAAGGGGAAAATCAGTCTATTGGCTACGTCAGAACTCAATGCATCCCCACCATTTTTCCTCTGAGTGAGCGAACCTGTTAGTTTTACTGACCTTGGGTACTCCTAGCACAAATGTATCAAAAAGAAACCCGATAAAGCGGGTTGTCCTCAGCTAGTAACCGATAATTAATATTAATAGACCCAGTTTGGAATTGTACCCACAGCATTCCGAATAGGATACTCAGGGAATCTCATCCAAATATCCTCATCCACTATGGACACAGTATTTAATGTAAGTATTCAAAATGCTGAGAAACCGTCTAATCGGAATTATTATGTATATGTTATTCTAACTCGACAGTTTTTAATAAGATATCTATTTTAAGCATTGTTATCATATCTTTTTAAGGTGGTTAGCTGCCGGGGCCAGTCCGAATTGACAACACCAGCATCCGTGGAACCCGATCCTCAGCCACCTAGACTCTGCTCTGCGGCTGGCCAGATCTGCTCAACCTGCGACACCGTGTCTGTTTGCATCGCCAACGTCGATGGCAGCATCACAACGATCAACCAGACCTGCCACTCGGACGAGAAGTGTCTTGAAGGACAATGTGTCCAAGGAGCCATCTGCAACTACAGGCCCTTCGAGTGTTCGGAAGAAGGGTTCTTCCCTGACCCTTATGACTGCAAGGTAAGAAATTATATTAGCTGTATGCAACATTATACAAGGTGTCACAGATAATTTGTTCCCTTCCTCCTTTGAAGTCTAAAGTGTTAAAAATATCGAAATCAAATTTGGGGGACCAAGTTTGAGTAACCTAAAGTTAGTTTAAGGCAGTGGTGGATCCAAGGAGACATTTCAATCTATTATTCTAAAATTCGAATAGAAAGAGAAGATGTATTGTTTATGTTTTTTTTTTTTTAAGGTAAAACATCTTTAGGTGCATTTTGCTCTCTTTTTGTAAAGAGTGAATTAGATTGAGCAGTCATATCTCCGATGTGTTACGCTCGGGTATTGTCAGCTGATTGAAGTGTTTTTGCACATGTATTAACACATTTCATTTCATCTTCTCTACGATAGGCTATTATTCAAAATTGTATGTTAACGTGACGCCGTGTTAGGAGGGCTTAAAGAAAAAAAACACTTTCGAAAACCAAATTATACCGAGTTTTATTGAAGATATGGATTAAAATATTTCAGAAACTAAAAATCGGAGCTGCATACTGTAAGTAAAGGAATTGTTAATCATTTCATCCTCTCTGTAATGGACTATTAATGTTTTCACTGCTATCATCATTATCTAAAATGACTGATATTTTTGGTGTAAGTCCTTCTTTGGCTAAAATTGATACGTAATAAGGACGTTCTTGAAAAATGTGGCTGACTGTGATTTTGGTGTAGGCTGTTTACTAATCAGATAAAAATGTGTCAGGTTTGTATGTCTTATCCTTAGCCTAGTTAAGGCAACTTCCTCTCTACGAATAGGGCGGTTAGAGGCGGATTATGTTTTTTTTTTATTTATTTCAATTTGCTTGGAGGGCTCTCGTTCCACATGGATTGCCAACCAACATTATATTTACGCTGTACTGCTGCAGTCACAATACCCATCCATACACGGGCAGCATATCTCTGTAGAGCGACCGTATTAGATCTTCTGAAAGGCCCTTTCACAATAGACCATAGTAAATTTAATTAATGTTTTTACAAGCAAAATTGTATCTGCTTTACGATGATGTACTTAGAATTTAATAATCTTGAACAGTTTTTGAGACTTCTAACCATTAGATACGGAAAAGAATCTTCATAGATCAACATCAAAATTTCTTAATGATCAATGAACATTTCTTGCCAATTATAAATCTTTTTATTAACTGAAAATTTTTTATGAACAGATTCTAAATAATGTAATGAATCAAATTTTTTTTTAAAAGTTTCTATTACTAATTTTAGTGATCAAAATGTCTATATTATAAAATATATGTTTCAGAAATACCATGTATGCCTTCCGTTAGGAGAAGACGGAACAGAAGATATGACTTTTCAGTGCCCAGAAGGAACATCATATGATGCTTTATCTGCTAGTTGCGGTTTTCCTCTAAATACCGAAGCTTGCATTAATAGACCAGTACCAGATTGTACAGAAAGACTGCAGGTATGCCATCAAATACACTTAGTATAAACGAACAGAGAACCTTAAAGACGCTTGTAAAATGTTCTCCCTTAAGTTCTTAAAATATAACATAGTCATCACGCCTAATAATAAACAAGATTTTTATACAATATTAAAAATTTCAGGTCGGAGCAGTAACAAGCAATCCTAACCTCTATTACACTTGTGTGGAAAAAGACGGCACATTAGCTCCCGAGTTACGTAAGTGCCAAGGCGGTAATCAATTCAAGGCTGATAAACTCTCTTGTCAAGAAGAAACATCGGGAAAAAAGAAAGATAAGAAAGAAAAAAAGGAAAAGAAGTCTAAGAAACCAAAAGAATAATATACTAAGGCAAAATCATAATTTGTAATAAATGAATAAAATAAACAATCAACTTTATAACCTGTTAGTTTATATTTATTATTTTATTCAAAGAGTGTATATACGATTGAGGTTGCATTTTTTAAATAATAAAAACAAAGATTCATACTTAGTTAATAAATAAGTGTCTGGGTGGTGTGGTGTGGACTGGGGACGTGGCCTGAGTCCACTGTAAAGTAAATTGTACAGCTGCCACAGACGAAACCCTCATACCTCTCTCAGGTTGACTTGGAATTTCTTTTTCGTAAACTTGAAAAATATTTAAAAAAGATTATGGGCGAGCAAAAACAAAGAGGGATAGGGATCTTGTAACTAACCGTGCGGAAGTGAAGATAAAGAGATAAATTCGAAGACAGAGAGCTAATTACCTTAATACTTGGTAGTTGAAGTTTCGACCCGTACCTGAGATGTTATGTTTTATCCTCACGAAAGGGATGACATTAAAAATATGTTACGTTTTGGGATGTCGCCTGATAATTATTGATGATAATTATCCTGAATTATTTAATAAAAATCAATAACAAAACATTAGTCAAAGAAATTTGGATCTATATGACATTGATTGGTCCAGGATTAATTTATTGGATTTCTTTTCTCAAAGACTGGTTTGTGATTATCATGCTTTCTAATTACCAACATTACCTGCGATCATCATGATATATATGGGTGGCAGAATGAAAATAACTTTTACTAAAAAACTTATTTTATTTTTATGTTTAATAAACTACATATGCAAATTATATTTACAGAAACTAAATACATGATTCAATGAATTTAATCAATGTCTGTGAATTCAGATAGATGGACTGTTCGGAATTATTGCCATGAAATATTTTAACATTAGGATTGGGAATTACAACTTATGGTATGTATTAGCTATTATGGTATTTGAAATGGTGTAGTTATGGCATGTTTAATCGTTGCATCCGCTGATCCGGTCATCTCATCAAGGCCAGATCCAAAAACTTCTCCAAGAAGCCCAGCTGTGTGGTCTATGTCGGGCCACGGCTTCAGTCCCCAAGCCGGAAGAAAATATAAGACCTACCCTCCAGGCCAGAAATCAACATAAGACCTCTGTTCTTACTTCTCGGCGTATTGTATACAAATATTCAGGATGGTTTTCATTGGTTCTTAACTTCACAATAACTGGTAACACCCTAAAAGGAACCAATTGCTTAGACCGTTACTAGTTTTTACTATAAGCCTTCCCTAGGATCCAGATACAGGTCAGTCCTTATCTACTTGCTCCTCCCCCTTGACGCTGTTTTTGATGTCAGAAGTCGTTCAACTTTGTTTTTGACACCTCGAAATAATTTTAAAAACTTATTTGCTATGTTCAATATTTATCATACCATAAAGAGGAAATAGGGTTAACGATTAATACAATAAAATAATTAACGATGTTCCGTTGTCAAAAATTAATCTATTGAAAAGGTTGGAGCTGGCGCGAACTTGGTCGACTTCACGACAGGACAGTGGACTAAAACTGTTTTTGCTAATGAGAAAAGATTTCTAAGGACGACTCTGACCATGAATATTCCTTTGTAGAATGTAGTTCAACAGGCGTAATTAATCGCCTTAAACTTCAAAATCGAGGTAGGGTAATGATGGTTTGAGAAGCAGCAATAACTGCATCTGGAACTTACCTTTTGTTGCTAATCCACCAGCGGATGAACAGTGAGTTCATGTAAAACATCTGAGAAAACGTCCAACATAAGCTTGAATGTGTTGAAATTATTATTATTAATATGGCACTTGCCATTATTTATAAAACATATTTTACCTCAGAGATGATCGAGTAGAAGATATTTCTTAGAAAGTTTTGAAGCTGGAAACACTTAAGTACCTTAGGTTACAATGGGAGATCTCTCATCTACAACAGATTGGCCCAATATATTTTAATTCAGCCGCTTTGGGAATTGCAAACAAGATTCACTTTACTTACAATATATTTGTCATTATTTAATATGACTTTTTTTCACTAACTGCAAAATGCATAGTAGGTCTAGAGTTTATTGTTAAAAAACTGATCCAAAAGGTTTTTGATGTCATCTTCCTTTTCAAATTTCTTTCCATTCGTGGAGTTCTACAGAGACCGGGATAAATGGTAGTCACTCGGAACTAGGTCTGGTGAATAGGGAAGGTGGGGGAAAATGTCCCATTCAAGGCTCAATAATTTATTGCAAGTGACCAATGAGGGGTGGGACCTAGCGTTGTCTTGGTGGAACACATATACAAACAGGATAAACAGTCCACCTTAGGGATTAATTCATCAGATAAGAAGTGTATCGTGACATAAGAATAAACAGAAAAACCGAAAGAACTTATTTGCCAACCCAATACTTTCATAACTCACTATGAAACCTTCTGTTATGAATACCCTTTCTGCTTTTAGAACTATAAGTCAACGACTCAAAAATTTTCTCTAAAAATATATCCTAGAAATATCACTCAAGTGTACCAATAGTACAATCTTATCATTGAAATGAAAACAAAATTATCCCCAAAAATTCAAGAAGTTTCAACCTAACTATTACACATTCAAAAGTTTTACTCTATTTTCCATTGACCTACCTGTGCAATATTCCAATAGCTAAGTCGAAATCATGTTATTTGAACAAAACTTTTAGCCATACATTATACAATAATATATAGTCCATTCTTAAGATACAATTCCCACTAGTCTGCCAACACAAAAAAAAAGAGGTGTTTTAAATTGGCGCCCAATCAAAAGGGAGACAAAATGCATAAAAATGAGATTTGAAGATTTTTTTTTTAAGTCAACATGAATCTACATATCTCACAAATGGAAAAAAAATCTGCGGGATTTGGTAGGTGTAGTGCACTTTTGCAAATATCAACAAACGAGCTATTCCTACAAAGATAAATATGGACTACTTTGTAGTACATTCATATTAGTTTCGATTTCAACCCTGATAGAGCTCTTTAGTGCCTTATGTTCAATAGTTCCAGAAGAAAACGATTTTCAAAAAATACTTTTTTTAACACTAGAAATTATCATTTCAGAATTCGATGAGAAATGGATAAACAAAGATAATTATTATAAACTACTCATAGCTGTAATATAACGGTGTCCATCGTATTTGCTACATTAAAATCTTAAAAATGGTGATGTATCATCTTTTTTTAAAGACAGTTATCATTGAAATTAACGTGTAAGAAGTACTGTTTTATGACCAACGGTTTTTCAGGGAGGTGAATGAGCAAATATCATGCTCAAAAAAAAGACCTTAAAAATTCCACATAATAAAGGCTGGCTGTGCCCCAGAAGGGTCAGCCAGGGTAGCCCCAAGATTAACCCACGGCTGATGTCACAGAATAATTGATTTAACGTAAAGGTTTCTCTGTTATAATGCCTTTTCAATATGTTTCCATTTCTTAAGTTGGCAAACCTAGCCAGTATAAATCTAATATTAAATTTATTAAATACAAGTTTATTCTTATTATACACTATATAATATAGAATAGAAGGTAAAAAATAATAAAAATGATATAGGTTATTATATAAATTTATTCTGTTTAGATCTATATGAACATTTTAGATAAATGAAACTTCAAACTGAAATATGTAATGGTCTGTCACAGTCATGGTAGACAATAAAAAAATATAATACATTTCTTATTAATGTAGAAATTAAAATTTTTTTAAAGTAAAAATTTAAAATTTCAGATCTTTTTTGGACTTTTATTAACTTCGTCTGCAACCAAATTATATTATAAAATAAGAGTAAACATATTAATGCTTGAAATATTTTATCAACGTCAATTAGGCTTGAAAGGATTTTTTTTTTCTTTTTAAATTAAGAAGAAGTGACAATATCTAAATAAAACTTTTTATTTTACATATTAAATGTGCACGTGAATAAATATATTCACAACTAATTCAAATATACAAAAGTCAATCAAGACACTATTTTACATTCGATCACTGATATCGTGTTTTTCAGTGGCTTCAAAAACATTTTTCATCAAACAAAATGGTGCATATATATAAATATGTATATATATATATATATATATATATATAAAGAGTTTCTCCCTCAAGATAATTTTCATATTGGCTTCTTAAGTATAAAGTTGTTTTCATGACATCTCGAGCAATACACAAAACTTCAAGTTGTCCAGTATTGTTTTCTTTTGTTATATCGCCGTTCATCTATGCTGTGTTTTTTCTATTTTTTTTTTTATGATGACATTCTTCCCGATTAAGCCGCCATTTAAGAAGAAGAAATGCCCACGAACTCTACTTCGTATCCTCAAGATAAATCAATCGGTGTGTGAGTGTGTGCGTGAATTAAGACTTGAACACAGGCACTGTGTGAGATTAGCAGCATCGATCGAGCGAGATCCAGCTGACAGGCCGGAGCGAGGCCTAATCTGTGCTACCTGTAAAGAAAACGCTCTAGAGCTGTAAAAAAAACAACAACAATACTTACCATCTCTTGACAAGCCTAATAGTAGAGGAAACCTGTTTAACTCTTTTTTTTTTTTCTCTGATTACCCTTGAAAACCCAGATATGATCACCCAAATATGATTGAAATTGAATGAAAAAAAAAAAAAAAAAAAAAAAAAAGGTGAAAAGAAATAAAGAGTATAAAAACAAAAACAAGATAATAACTAAACTACAAGCGTATTTGTTGAATGAGAAAAAGGAAAACAAGGGAGTAAGGATAAGGGAGGCTCCGTTGTTTCGGCTTACCCTGCCTCTTGTGGGGACCTAAACACACGGAGTAGTCACTCAGCGCTATCTAGCCGATAGAACAAGCAGCAATATCTTTCTCTTTCTCTCTCTAATAAACCTCTTTTTTTTTTCCTTTTCCTCCCATGCCGATTTCTTATTATTTCTTCCGCCTAGAATCCCTAGATTTCTCCCTATCTTTATCTCTTCTAGAATGATCAGATTTCCTTAATTCGGCTAGCCTTCTTTCATGCTCGGCCATATGCTGCCTTCGCATTTCCTCTTTGACTGCGATCTGAAAAAAAAAATAAATAAATTTATATGTATTTTTCTTTGATTTCTTGTCAAGTCTAAAAATATTTGTTCTTAACTACAAAGAACAATTACTTAAATATTGTACTAGCGTCAATCATAGCAGAGGCAAGAGTATTTGGGACAAACTGTAGAAGAATCTTACTGGTACCGGTGGGAGGAACAAGTTCAGTAAGCGGACCTTGTGTTTATTTTAGTCAACCCTTGGTGGCTGGCTACCTAGAAATTGGCGCCCAGAACTAAACTGATTTGGACTCAAAATTTATTTCTCGGAGCCGCCGAAAAATAAATATTAACCAACCTATGTCCCGGTGGGATCAGGTCATCATTCCCCATAGAGGAATGCTAATAATGCAAAGTTCATACCATACAGTCTTCCGAAACAAAATATAAAAATAGCTGCTCTAAAAATATCTAAATAAGAGCATTCCTTCATAAACAAATTCTCATATTTTTCCTGGTTTGCCTACTAAAAAAAAGAGAAACAAAATAGTATTCTGTACCATGATTTAAGTCATTTCAAATTGAACTAATGATATTACAAAACTTATGGTCTTGATGGTAACAAATAATATTTCTTTTAAATATTTTAAATTTAAATTTTTTAGAAAAAAATAATCAGCTTTGATTTAAGGTTCACTTTCTATTGTTTTGAGAAATACATTTTGTTTTTCTTTTATATTACAGACTGTTTTGAAATCTATCTTTTTTTTTTTTTTTTTGTAGCCTATTATTACAAGTATTTTACAGTTTGTAGGCCTCCCCTAATTAAGAGGGTAATGGTATAACTTCCCGCGGGGATCAGCCATAGTGGGAAGTAGGGCCGGGATTCGATCCTATGATCTTTACCCTTCTTAATGATCATTAAATTTCTTCTTTTTTTCGGTATATAGGTTCAATATACAAAGTTATTTTATTCAATTGGATATGCTTAATATTTTATAGATAGATAATTAGAAAAATAAACGTTATTCTGGGACAACAAAGAATAACAAAACTGAACAAATAAAAAAAGCCAACACAAATTTGGTCAAAATCTATATTATAATACAAATTCAGATTTCTAAAAAAAATTAAATATACAGCGATATTTTTGATATATCAAAGTTAAATATTAGGGTGTCAATAAAAAATTCCTTCCTTTTTCATTATTTGTTGTTTAAGGTTGATTAACTGTGTTATATATGAACCGTTCTGCTCCTTTTATCTCTCAGGAAGCCTCTTCTTATACCCTTTTCCCAAAATTGTTAGACTTCTTGCAAAATATTGATCGAGTTAATTTTTATTTTTTATTGGGATTTGTGACATTAATCACGCAGAGAATTTTTTAAGAAAAGAAACAAGTAATAATTGAATGGGGCTAAGGATAAGACAGAAAGTCCCAATCAAGCTGTAAGAGTTCCTGTCTTACTACCAATGCAACTTACGGTAACAAGATTGGGACGTTCTACCTCATTCTCCATATTCTCCAGACCTTGCCCCATCCGATTATTACTTGCTTCTTTTGTTAAAAAATTCTCTCCATGATAAGTGTCACAAATCCAAAAGCAAAATAAAAATGCGTCTCGATAAATATTTTGCAAGAAGTTCAACGATTTGGAAAAACCGTATAAGAGCCTTCCTGAGAGATGGAAGAATTAAATTTAACATCTCTCAAGCTACCCAAACAGTTAACAAAAGTCTAAAAGCGACGCTGAGCGATAACCAGAACTTCCTTTGATTTGAACAAAAACATCAGTCATAAATAGATGGATAGAAATTCTATGGTGTCTGCCCATGTAATAAAGTTATTACATATTCGTGTTTCCCCATAATTTGTAAAATATGTAAAAACGACTTTAAATGAGATGATAAGTTTCAAAACTGTCTCAATATGTTTTTAATAATTTTATAGAAGATAATGCAAACATACAATTATATCCTATGTCAATTAACTAAACCCACGAGTTTGCACTCATTTTTATACTGTATTGAGAAACATTTGGGTAATACCTCGGTACTTATCTAGTAGCGGGTAGCGTCAAAACCTCCCTTCTTATCTAATCTCATTTCAGATAACCTCCCTTATCTCATCTAACCTAAGTTATTCTGTTGTTTAGTTTTTGTTTCTTGTACCAGGTGTGAGTTTATTTAATTATGGATGTTGTCACATTGTGGGAATTGCCGTCTTCAGAAGAAGAGGCTATCAAATATTTTCAAGACGCCGGTATTTTTGATAAGGTGAAATATTGTGATAAGGGTCATAAAATGAAGTTTGGCGGGAAGATTGAATGGAGATGCTTTCGTAGTTGTAACAAAATCGTTTCTATAAAGAAAGGAACGTGGTTAGAGGGGTAGAGGATTTCTTTTTTAACGGCTTTAAAATTCATTTATGGGTGGTACCATAATTTAACTACAATACAGTGGGGAAAAGAGCAGCTCAAACTATCCATCGGAACTGTCGTAGCATGGACTATGTTAGTTTTATATGCACATATGCTGTTTAAGTAGTTTTTTATTATTTTATCTTTTTTGACTATTTTTATTATTTCATTTATTTTTATATATATGTTGCAATGTTTTCATAATGTTTTTTAATTATATATTTATAATGTTTTGGTCTATTTTAATATATACGTTGTAAAATAAAAGCATTTTGTTATTATTACATTTGTTTCTGTTTTTGTTCACAATTTCAATATCAATACAATACAATAAATATGAATACGAACATATAATAACATGAATACAATACAATAAATATGAATACGAAGAGCTTATAAGTGCTAAGGTTATAAACATTGGCAGATAGCAGTCGGACGCTACCCGCTATTAGATAAGTACCAATACCTCTTTGCAGACTAGGTGATGTACTGCATTGAGAATTTACAGAAAAATTAAATAAATTCATTTTGTGAACTGACTGGATTGAGCCAGTTTTGAAAATTAAATTAATCTTTTTATATTAAGCTACACAATTTTCTCCCCATATAATCCTTACCTGAGCTGCAGTGAGGGGAAGCCAATAAATACATGGTGTTGCCTTTGTTTTTCGGAAAAGGTCATCTAAAAGCCTGGCAGGGGCATCGTTATCTCTCTTCTTGATTTTTCTTGCTGAAAAACAAATAAAAAAAAAATTATAAAAATTCCAGAACAATTTTGAAAAGCATAAGATTTTAGTCAAAGAGAAGAGTCGAAATTTTGTGACTTATTTGAAGAAAGCTTTTAATCTTACATTGTTAAAATGTCCATCCTCGGCACTTAATTTGCACTGCTTAAAGCGGGAGTGTTATAAAATGGCGCCCATAGAAAGGAGTAACCCAAATGCATAAAAATTCCATCATTTGTTTCAAACCACCAAGAAACTCTATAAATGGCAAAAAAATATTGTCCCTCTTGATTGGGAGGAGGAATTGCACAAGAAAATGAAGTTTTTTTATTTTCACCTGATTGTACATTTTTGCAAATAACAAGAAAACAGAATTCATGAGAAGATAATTATATCAAAATAAAATATTATGATGCTGTTTAGCCGTGCAGTAAAAAAAAATGAATTATAGATCCCTTTCTCATAGAACAAAGATCACGGTGTATGAGAAGGTCGTCACCGCTGTCTGGGACATGGATGATATTTAAAGTTTCACAAGGCTACACTCACATGGGAGAAAAGGAGTATCCGCAGAAGAACTCGAAGAAATTCATACCAATAAAGAGCTGCTCGAGATTTACGCGAGGCTGGATTTGGTCTCAATTATGAAGGATAATCAGATCAGATAGTTGGGCCATATGGCGCGCATAAACAGAGGCTTACCAGAGCGATTCTTAAACGCTTGCTGGAGGATCGAGATGGGGGAAAACGTGAACGAGCAAGACCACTCATGAAATGGCTGGACAAGGTGGAGAACATCCTGATAGGGATGAATTTCTTATAAAACGACATTTTTTGAAAGATTGTTTCGCTGGAACTATTGAATGTAAAGAGCTTTATGATGGCTCAAACTCTAGGAATGAACCACGAGTAGTGTAAGGAATGAACTAAGTAGTGTTTTAAAAACGAATCTCAAGCTCTGACTGAAGCTTTGACTGGAGCCCTAAAGACTCGAGTCTTGAAGGCTAGGCTCTAGAGCACATAAGATTCGAGTGTTGATGAGAAAAAAAAAACTTAAATTATTTTAGCTTCATAAATTTTGGTAAATAAAATTTTTTTTTCTGTTGGTAGTAACAATGTGGAAAAAACCGGGAAGGCTTGAACCTCGAAAACGCCGAGCTCTTAGGACTTGAGCCTTAGCTGAGACGAGAAAGTTCAAGCCTTTTGGGTTCAAGCCGATTAGCACAAATCAAATGCTAAGGACGAAAGAAAACATAACAGAGTATGAATTAAAGTTTTCTTCAAATGTGTCACAAAATTTTGATTTGGCTCTTGGACTATAAAGGAAATAATACAAGATTAATAATATTAATTAATATATATATATATATATATATATATATATATATATATAATAATAATAATTAATAATAAAAAAAAAAAAGAAATTACCAGGAGGTTCATATTTAGTTTCTACAGGACTGGCCGCCCGCCTCTTCACCTCTGGCGGTTCCGCTTTCACAGGCCACTCTTCCACCTGCCTTTTCTCCTCCGTCGCACCCATGCCTACCTTACCCATATCCCATTCCCTCACCGCTGTCGTCACCTGTGGCAAAATAATAAAATATAAATTTAATCAATATAATACAAATTTATCAATATAATAATACCAATAAGTATTAAATAAGGATAAATTAACTACTATTTAAATTCAATCCTCACCCGACGCTGAGGTTTCAAAGCAGCTTGCTCAGATAACCAGCCGGCAGCGGCAGCAGTAACTGGCTCAGCAGCTTCTGGTTTCTTTACAGTTACTTCATCTTCAGCTAATTTCTGTACAAGAGACATGTCCTCGGAAGTGGCAAATTCGACTTTAAGCATCTTAGGATTGTTAACCGGCCACCTGACGCCATTCAAAGCATGTCTCGTCTCCACAGCCATTTCAATATCAGTGTACTAAAATAAAATAGGGATAAATGATTACATAAATAGAGTTAATTGTATATTCTAATAATATTAGGTATTTCATTTAGTCGCTAATCGGGCGCCAAATGTAACAATTTAGTTTCCGATAGTTCTGAAAAATTTCATGAAATACCAAAAACTAATAATAGACCATGTAAATATTACTGAATTAAAAGTATAACAATTACTTACCTTCACATAACATTTTGATTTGATTTTATCAATATAAAACCCATTCGGGGCGATCGTTCCAGTCCGCGCCAACAGTTCCCTCAACTGTGGAATAGTGAAAGGCCTCACGAGGTTGGTAATAAAAAGGACCTCTGTGGCCGGCTTTCCAGATGGACTCGGAGAACGTCGTGCCTTTTTAACATCTTCATTAAGCAGCGATATTTTTCTTACCACTACAAAATACTAACATTAGTAAGAGAAAACAAAACTTAAAACAGTCGCCATGTTTCACACAATCAAAATTAATAAGGAAAACAATCTTAAGAACAATTATTTTACTTATATTAGAAGATATACTGGAAAGTAACACAGTAACATATCATCGGTTTCTAGCAAAAAGTCATTAAATGATATTTCATTAAAAACTTTGATGAAGTTTCCCTCCGAAAAATCATAAAATTATGCGCTTATTTTTGCTGTGCATACTTTCATACACATGAATAGATTTTTATAAAATTGTAAATAATTGTTAATATCAAATAATAATTTCAAGATAATGAGTTACTTTCCAGTAATCTTATATATTCTCTCTTATTTTAATAAAATTGTTTTAACATTTTAATGTTGCAACTAACAATAGCTCACTCACAAAAATATGGCAACCAGAAAACGAGAGGTTATTCGATGAGAGAAAGAAACTCATCCCCCTCCATATATTCAATGTTCTAATAAGCCATGGAACTAATCAATGCCATGTTTCTTTTCATTTCCCGATAAATGTGAAACTTTTGGGAAACAATCTTAATGAAATTAATAAATAAATGAGAATTCACTAATTTATTTATGAACATTTTTCTATAAGGTTAATGTTTGCACCTAATCTACCTCTTTAAGGTACAAGGAAGTACACAGTGGAGTGGTAAGTACACAAGTCGACACAGTGTAATCCAACCAACATTTTGGAGAAAAGACTATCCTTAACTACAAGATCTTTTAAAGGAAATTATTTGCTGAATATAAAGGTTCTGAATATAACAACGAAGTACAAGGCCGTGACGATCAAGAGAGTTAAAGTGTCATAACCTTAACAGCCTCGAGTCTAGTTGTGCTCGTTCAAACACAGTCTGGACAGGTTGAAGTTTAATTTGTGGGAACCTATACCTATGGAATGAATCTTGACTTTCCCACTTTGGTTAGAATATATTAATTTCTAATGGATTCATTACTAGTCCATGGTACAAATTCCTTTTTATTGAATTATTAACATCCGCCTGAAACTTTGTAAATAGTTTCATATCATCATAACCTACAACTATTTTATTTATGAAAAATCTTGAAATTGGGATGTTTTCAGTCTGGAGGGGGGGCAAACTTTGTCTATTTAATTAGGTACTAAAAACTCGTAAATATCCATTTGCTTTCTACTTGGATCTTAAGATAATTTGATCACAAAATCGATAAAAAAGGTGGCATACAAAAATATTGAGCTATTCGTCCTATATAACCTCATTATTTTGACAATTTGTGGGTATAGGTTATGCCAAACGGCTCAATATTTTTGAAGGGCAGTTTTTATCTCGATTTTGTGATCAAATTATATTACGATTCAGGTGAAAAGCAAATGGGTATTTACGAGCTTTTAGTGCCTGATTAAATAGACAAAGTTTGCCCCCCTCCAGATTGAAAACGCCCCAATTCCAAGAGTTTTCGTAAATAAAATATTTGTAAATTATGATGAGATGAAGTTATTTACGAAGTTTCAGGCGGCCGTTAATAATTTGATAAAAAGGGGTCTGTAACACAGACTGCACCCACAATTTCTAAAATTTTATAAAAATATTCCACTTTAACAAAATACAAAGATTACCAAAAAATTTTGAATATTTAAAATTTTACTTTTGAAATTTATTTCATCTTGGCTCCACTGTGTGGCATTAGATTCAGGGCATGAATTCACCCTCAGTCTACCATACACTTGTGGATAAGCTATTGAAGTGTGAAAACAACTTCTTAGAGAGAAATTGTTTAAAATGTCTCAATACGACATAAGTAAATTAAAAACCACTACATTTTTTTATATGATTAAATATACATTTAAAAATATATTTAACAAAAACCTGTACCACTAAGAACCCATGAAGGGTATTGGGTTCAGTACAATGTGAGGAAGTACTATTACAAGGCCAATGGTTGTGCAAGGAGGTGATTTGACCGAGATCACGCTCAACCGATGAAATATTACTAGTCATCAGGCGGATTCGAACCTGGGATCTTGAGCTCTGGAAGTCAAGTGCTTACCCACTGAGTCACCCCGCTACCCAAAAATATATTAAACACTTATAAAATTATATTTTCTATCTGATACATTATAGGAATTCTAATAAACTTTCAGGCTTTCAAAAATATCTCTATTTATTAATATTTCAACATTTCGGACAAGATCGTCCATTTTTAAGAAAACAATTTTTATCAACCCGGATATTTTTTCAAGGAGAAAGAAATATTTTCATTCAAATAAAAAAAAAAAAAATGGAGGATTGTGTCAGAAATGTTGAAAAATGAATAAATACAAATTTTTGTTAGGAACCCTGGATGTTTATTTAAATTTCTGAAACTTGTTAAAATAGAAAATATATGAAGAACCTTTGAATATATTAATATATATATTTATATTTAATAAGATATATTTAATTAATCAACAAATTAAAAAAATAAATAGATTTCAAACATATTATTGCGCAATTTACAGGATGAAGAGAGTAAGATTTTTATTTTTTTTTTGTTTCTTATGGCTAAGGATGATTGGCTTAGGTCAAATATCAAAAAGTAATTCAAAAAAGATAATCATAAGATGTTTAAACAATTTTATTAAGTTTTCATTTTTAAGAGCAATGCTGTCACCTTAGGGCAGGATAATCTTGTTAGGATTTGTAAAAAAAATTAAAAAAGCATTAATTTTAAATTAAAATTTAAAATTAATTTTAGCTTATTAATTGAATTAATGACATACTTAATGAAATAAAATTAAAATATTAAATAAAACAAAACAGCTAAAGAAATAAGTCTTAATCTTGTTGGGGAGATGACATCATAGCCTGAGGACACCGAATCTTTAAGCCCAGGATGTAGTATATATCAATCAATAGTTTGTCAATTCTTAATGGACTGATCTTATTTCTATACTCCATAAATAATGAATAACTTAATAAAAACAAATTGAAGTAATGTGAATAAAAAGGGAATGGACTATTAAAGATAAAATTATTTTAAACAAAACTGTTTACAGAAACAACTACAAAAAAGTGGACAAAGACTATCAAATTCTGGAACCTACAATTTAAACAAAAAAAGTATACATTATACAGAGTGCTTCGGGGTTGCCAAACTGAAAATATGAATTAAGGACCTCAAAATAAGAATAAGACATATGAAGGTATGTCCGCAAACGCTTTGCTTAAGAGATATTCACAGCTAAAGATTTTCATTGCTATGAATTATTTGCATTATATTAAGTAAATAAAACTTATTTATTTGTTCCAACTACTTTATTAATTAAACATAAACATTAAATTCATATTAAATGTTGTCAATACTTTAATTCTTCCTTACGAAGAAGAATAATTGAATCTTGTGAAACAATAACACATATCCAGTGCCGTTCTGCCACTGCTGCTGTCGAAGAAAGATGCCAAGCCTGTCTTAATGCTCAAGGAAATCATTTTGAACAACATTTAATTAATAAAGTAGTTAGAACAAATAAATAGGTTTCATTTATTTCATATAACGTAAATAATTCATAACAACAAAAATCTTTAGGTGTGGAATATCTCCTAAACAAAGCATTTGCGGACATACCTTCAAAGGAAATTTTTTTCTTGTTTTGAGGCCCTTAGTTCATTTTTGCAGTTTTGCCACTTAACCCTGAAACATCTTGTATATACAAACAACAATTATTATTGCAATATAATTCACCAAACAAGGAAAACACATTCAGATTATAACCATAACCACAACTATGTAAAATGAGAACAAATAAAAACTATAAAAATTTGTCCTTAATTTTGGAAAGATGGCAACTTTGAATACATAAATTACGAAACAAAAGGGGATTACTCCAGAGTTTATGATAAATAAATAACACTAATAATACTTAATATAAATTTAAAGCTAGAGTTTCCATTAAATCATTGTTATTTTATCAATACTCTCTAAATTCAATCTACTAATTAAGATTACTTAATTCCATCCTTGAGGAAGTAGCAGCTCATTCCGAACCGTGGTCTTTCTGAGACATGATTAAGATTGGATAGATTAAGAAATTACACCTTGTTAATAAAATTTAGTCCAGCCGGCCTCGCTAGTAGCATCTCGTAAGGGATGTAGACCTTTCTTGGGTTACTAAGGCGGGTGCAAGGCACTTAGAGACTCTTTTTGGGGAAATCCATGGCATACTATGAGGGTGGACAGGACCCTACAGTCATGGTGAAGAAAATATATCAAGACGACAACCTTGAAAACAAATTTGGTCCTCTACGTTTGGGGGTTAGGCAAGGAATTGAAGAGATAGCTATGACATCAATGTAGCTAGATTTTACCACCACAAGGTTTAAAAATAGTACAAGAAAAGGATTGCGGTGAGAACCAAAGTAAGAATGGAGTAATCTCTTCCATAATTTCCAGTGAAAAACAAGAAAAATCAATACTTCAAAACCCAGAAGTGAACCAATGAAGAGGTTCAACAGAAAAAATCTCATGGGTGCAGAGAAAAGAAGAATATATAAGTCTGTACTTAATCAAAAACTAGCTACATCAAGACACCAAGAAAAGGATACTGATTTGTGAAGGATGATCCAGCGAGTTGTGTTAGAGCCTGGGGCCTGCAGGAAATGAATCCAGATCACCTCGGTTTGATGAAGAATGCAAGATGGACCAGGCGACAGTGAAAAGAACACAACAGGAGAGAAAGAACGAAAAATAACTTCATCAAAGAAAGGGATTGGAAGATGAGAACGTGAAAATGCCGAAACATTCAGTGCAGATGAAGAGGAGTTGAAATTTGATGTAGATCGACAAAGAAAACCTTTCAAGCTTAACAACACTTCTTGCAATTCCAATGACAACATCCTCATTGATAAAGAGACCTTTATGATGGAAGAATAGTTTCATGGCTATTTACAGAGAAGAACAAGTCAAGTTACAAAATGAGGACAAACCTAACCTAACAGACAAAGACTTGGAACCATCTAACCAAGAAGAGTTCATAGAAGCTCTAGAAAAACTAAATAAATACAAGGCACTAAGGATAGATGATCTCCCAGCTGAGCTTGTAAAGAACGGAGGCAATGCTCTTGACAACTAAAAGGCTCTGCCAAATATTTTATTTAATTGTTTAGTATCGTTTGCAGAAAGAAATATACTCCTATCAGTCTGCATTCTGTAGAGATTAGTCTATAACTGACTATATATTTAATCTTAAGACAATACTAGAGAAGTGTTAAAGAGTGTCACATCATGATACACGAACTGTTCCTAGATTTCAAAGCAGTCTACACTAGAATCAATCGGGAAGCTCTCTAGTGCATCGAGGAGATTCTAGATTTGTTAGAAGCTTATTACATTAATAATATTAGGCATGACAGACCTTTAATGTATTGCACAGATACAGGAAGAACGGTCAGAAAGTTTCCAATCAATGAGAGTTTTCCATCAAAAAGAAAATGCCTTAACCATTCAACTTAGCAACAGTACAACTCTTAGCATTTGCAGATGATGTACACGTTACAGACGAGGGTCACGCAAACAGTAAAAGGAGCATGTTCTGCTCTGCGAGAGCGTAAGAAGATTTGGTTGGGAGATTAATCAAGAAAAAAACCAAGTACATGGTATCCGAACAGACTCTTATACCTAGGGAAGGGAGAGGGAAAAGTGGAGTATGGTACCTATTTCTTCAAACAAGTTACAGAATTAACATAGCTTGGATTTCAAGTAACATATGAAAACGAAACAGGAATAGAGATCAGAATAAGAATATCTACAAACCACATATATTTTGGACTGAGATTTATCAAATAGATTTATTACAAAAAGGCAAAAAAATATTTAATACAAAACTCTAATATGGCTAATCCTCACAATATAAAAAAAGCAGACCACAGGAAATGTGTCAAAACCTTTCGATATTTGGAAGAAATATTCTCCAACAAATATTTTTGAAACCGTCCTTAACAAAGGAAGATAGAGAAGTGGTAAGAAGATAGTGAGCACATAATTTCAATTATGAAGCAAGCAAGACTTAAGTGGACGGGTCGTGTAGCAAGAATGAATGAAGAGCAAATCCTGAGGAAACTGTTGATGGAAGTAATCCATGTATACTAAAGTCAGCAGACCAAGACTTGGATCGACTGAGCCTGGAGACGCAAGGAGTCATAGAGTCTACAACTGCATTCTACCAGCATTAGATAGACTAGGCAGTAGTTCTTTCAGGAGAACTAAACACGAAAACCCGTTGAAGCCCCAAACAAGATAAATAAGATTAAGATCCATCCATATAAAGGATTTTGACCCCCAAACAAAACAAAATAAACTAAGATCCACTTACTATTAAATCAAATGGTTTAAAGTACAAACTGTTCGATATAATATGGTCACAGAACAAAAACTTTATATAGCCAATAAGTTAATTTTCATTTCTAACTGATTGAAATTACAAATTAAATGCCTTGAAAGAATATATGTTTTATCTTATTATTTAATTAAAGTATAAATGTCTATTTATTTATTTATACAATATGAGAAGGAGTTGATCGGGGGGTGCGGTCAAAATAATACTAAATTAAACAAGTAGAATTATTTAATTTTTGCCTACGTTTCGACCCACTTTGCAGGGCTTCATCAGGGCGTAGGATGTAGCATTGCGTGAGGCAGTTGAAACACTGCCTATGAGTGTTTCAACTTCCACCCGCAGTGCTACATCCTACGCCCCGATGAAGCCCTGCAAAGTGGGTCGAAACGTCGGCAAAAATTAAATAATTCTACTGGTTTAATTTAGTATTAATTTGACCGCACCCCCCCGATCAACTCCTTATCATATTATATCAATGGTCAACCATCTCTACATCATTATTTATACAATAGTTTACTTCAGCTGTTTCAAAATATAATTGAAACAAAAATAAATTAAAACAGATTATTCTTTATATGCCGAATGTGAGGAGAAGCCTGACAATTTTAAGAGGCCACGATAATGAAGGCCTAAACTGAATATTTCTACTGCCAGTCAACAATTTAAATTTAAGCATATATTTTATTTTTTATAAATAAGTTTTTATTTTAAATACAGGGTATTTATGTAGAGTGCTCCAGAGGGAAATGTCAATAATTTAGAGAGAGGTATTCAACTGAAATTGTAATTGAACCTCACAATCGACACCTCATCTTAATCATCTCCTAAAAATAGACTAGCTTCATAAAATTGAGAACACAAACTTTCCAAAGAACAACAATACTGACGGAAATGAAACAAGCAACTTTTTTTTTTTCAATTCTTAAGGTCGTAGTTCGAAAATGACAGGTTATACCTGATAGGAGATAGGACGGAACATTTAGCAGGACTGAATTACATTTATGTTGACTCCTCTCCCTCAATATAAAGGTAAAAATTCAACTGCGCATCATTTTTAAAAGATTAACAAAATTAATTCAGGAAAGAAAATATTGTGCAACAAATAATTCCAAAAAAAAAAAAATTAATAAATAAACGAGAGGGCACAAATTAATTTCAACTAAATCATTTCGGATCAAATGTAAGGAATCTCAAATATTGAGAGTATCTCAAACAACAAATGTTCAACATGACGACCCGAATCGATATAGAACAGCCTCTCTCTTGGGAAAACCAATCATCCTTAAACATAACTCCCTCCATCCTGCGTATGATTTCTCTTATAAAGGTTATATGATTAATAAATATTTAACAGCAATTGTGTGTAATAACTTTTCAGTGGGAATGTATTGAGTTTTTTTTTTTTTAATTGAGAAACAATAACTAAAATAAGAAAAAGTGAGTGAACGACAATCAAAATCATCACCTCTATGATTTTCTTGAAGCGGTAATTTTGGACCAACAGCTTTTAATTCATCTAATTCGTTCGTAGCATCTATGACAATCTGTTTCTTTTTGACGACCTGTCTATTTTCATTTTGCACTCTAACTTCTACGATATCTTTCGTTTTCAGATTTATTTTTTTCTTGTTATTCATTTCACTAGGTTGCTCCATTTCGAATTTGGACAAGTCTTCGTCATCGAGAGGAAAAGACGCTACCTGTTCTGGTGTTATGGTTTTAACCTCAGGCACCAGAAGCTGTTAAGGAAAAATTACTTATATAAGTCTTTTTTTTGAATCAGTGATTTAAAACATAACACAAAAGAAATATTAACCAAATAACAAAGAATCTCACCATTAACGACTGAGAGGATATATTAAACTGATCTTCTTCTTTGTCTTTAGGTTTGGGTTTCAAAACTAACCTCCTTTTTCTCTCTGACGGTGGGAGATCATCTATGGTTGAACAAGAACAAAAATGGAGAAAAGAAAAAAAAAAAAAAAAAAAAAGCAAGGAAATGACATTATCTTAATTATTTGTATTTCTGGACAGTAATGATAAAATAAACTTTTGTTTATAACTACAGATTATTTTTTCAGAACTATACTTTTCAATGATGCTGTAATCAGTTACTAAAAATTGTTTATAATCCATATTTATTGTTAAAAACTTTTTACAGATAACCATAAGGGATACAATATCAAAGTAGATTCTATCCTCCCTAACTCTTCAATCACACATCATAAACCTTGAAGAATGGTGCCAAAACTGGATAATTAAAATAAATCCCGTCAAATTACCTTACCCTTTATCGTAAATCTATGACTTCCTGTCCTACAATTTCCTTTAACAATATCTCACTTATTCCTGTTGGACAAATCCGTTACCTACGACTCCACCTGGAGAAACGTCTAACTTGGAATCCTCATACCACACTGAAACGACAAGAAACCGTTCGACGTTTCTGATTTATTAGACAAACGCTCTAACCTTCCAATTAATTACAAAAGACTCATATACATGACTATAATAAGGCAAATTTGGACTTTGGAAGTTGAGCTATGTGGCTCCACCAAACCATCAAATTCCTCTCATATCCAATCCTTATTATCAAAAATCCTCAGTTTGTTACAAATAGATACACACATCCATGATGACCTTAATATTCCTTATGTTTCAGATTTGGACCAATCCAGATACCTATCCTTCCATAGTAAATATACTTCATAACCATCCCAACCCTCTTGTTTCTAACCTTGGTTCCTCTTCAATTCCTGATAACCCACCGAGGCGTCTGAAAAGATGACCCAGTGATCTCCAAATTTAGACATATTATTAGAGTGCTACCACTGGGTAGTTTTTCAAAAAGTGTTTCATGTCATTACATTCATTTGTACAAATTGACTAGATTTTTTTATACAGTTGTAAATATAATATAATATAAATAATAAAAAAAAAAAATATTCCATCCAAATAGAAGCGCCACAGATCAAAATCTCAGAATAATACTTTAAATACAGGATCAGTCAGAAAGAAGGCAAGTTTTTCAAAATACTTTGAATGGGACGGTCACAAAGAAGTGAGGAACGGCTTGTTGGAAAGAAGAGAAGTGGAAGTTTACTGTGCGTACTCAATCAGTCGACAATGACATTTTCGTTCATATTTTCAGACTGTACATTATGGGAATATTCCTTATCTGTGGTGGTGTCTTGAAATGGGTTTTCCACGTTCAAAATGAAATATGTAGTGCAAAAAAAAAAAAAAGAAAGAAAAAGGAAACCTTAAGAGAAAAGATAAGATGGAGTGATGGGAGATGGCCCAAGGAGATACAAAGAGAGGACAATTATGCTGTCTTAGTCCAAAACCTCCTTAAGAAGTACAGAGATCTCGGTTGTCACATGTCAATCAAGATTCACTTTCTTCACTCATTTGGACTTCCCAAAAATTTTGGATCTGTAAGTGAAGAACATGGTCAGCGATTTCACCAAGATATATCCTCGATGGAACGAAGATATCAAGGTCGGTGGGGTACTTCAATGCTCGCAGACTACTGTAGGAACGTTGTGAGGGTATTGGCAGAACAATGCTCGCAGACTACTGTAGGAACGTTGTGAGGGTATTGGCAGAACATCAGTACAATCGTCAAGCAAAGGAATAAAGGTTCTAAATAAGCTACAATAGCACTGTTCTTGCCGAGAGAAGTTGCAATTTAATATTTTGAGGGTTGTAAAAGTATTTCACAAATAATAAAGCACTTTTAAGGCCTAAAAAATGATCGTGTAACTTCCAATAACTTAATTTTTTGTACGTATCATACCACATACCAAAATTAGTCAAGAGAATCAGTTTTCATTGAAGATTTTTTTGTAGGGCAGTGTTATCAGAAAAAAATACCTCGATGTTCAAGAGAGGATTCTTAGCAACATAACTTTAAGAATCTCTAGCGTATGGAAGCTTGAAGCATAAATAACTGCCACAGACTTTAGGTGAAACAGTTCATAAAATATAATGCTATACTATCACTGTCATGCTCGAAGAAAGTTTTTGTTTTTTGGACAAACCGTTACAGGAATATTGAGAAAATTCAACTTCGGGGATCAAACTATACATTTATAATTTTAAAGATTCGTGAGTATTGGAGAGATCCTATTTCAATTTTTTTCTACACTGCCTTAAAATGGAACTTGGCACAAGGTATTGAATTTCCACATCTAAAAACTAAACGGTCACAATAATGATAAAATTATACCTTTTTCTTCATAATAATTATTCCATTTTTTATCTTGATTGATGATATTATCCTTCTCCTTTTTTAAAAAACAATTTGTATCTTCTCTTTCAAAAAGAAAATTTAAACTACATATTGTGATTCATAAGGTTAGGTTCTTATGTATTTATTCTCAACTAGTTATAAACTATACATTGTAAATTAATAATGCACTTAAAGTTTGTAAATAAATAATGCAACTTGTAAATTAATAATACACTTCAAGTTTTCTCATATGTTTACATTGTCATAAAAAAAAAAAAAAAATCAGTATAATGAAATTAAATTTTATAATCTACATTTACACAGCAAGATATGGACAAAAAGCAATGTTCTAATTAGAGTAAAATACAATGCCAATGATTTAAAAAAAAATTGTAACCATCACTTATTTAAATAGGAGTATAATTTGATGAACAAATCAAAAATCACCAATCAGTGATAAAAAATACAAAAGCAAGCAATGAACATATTTATTTATTGCACTCAAAGAGGATCTCCGCAAACTCAAACACACAAAAATCCATTATAGAAATATATCATTAGTCAACTATTTAAAAACAATAGTTATTCTGATATCTTATCGCACACTTCGCTAGTACCAACATAACAACTGAAGTTATTTGTCTGGTCCAATCAGATTCTATCCAACATAAATTTATTAGAATTTATATCACAATTCTATTATCTACGGTAGACGTATTACAAAGAACAATTTGTTTATTACGAGTTTTTTTATTAACTTTTGTTCTTAATGAAAAAAATATACATAAGAGTATTACTTACTAAGACTCTAAGAATAGTTAAGAATTACAGATAGTCGTAAGGTTAAATTAGTATGTTTATAGTTGCACTTGCCAACATGATAATAGTAAATATTTAATGATACATCATAGATTATACAACAATGAAAATAATAAACACTACTTTTTGTGTGTTAATGCAATAAGATCTATTTTTTCTGCTATATAATAGGCTGTATTAAAAAAAAAAGGAACATTTCATCAAATTGTTAATTTTTTTACCAACAAAGAATTATCTCTTTAGAACTCTAATTTAAGCTTATTTATCAACAACGGAATGGCTTGATAAAGCGTTAGTTCAAAAGTTTTTTAATTGAAAAAGCGACATGAAGGTATCATACAAAATTCTTATTATTTTAAGACATCATTGAAAAAAATCTTGTTCAGCCGCTAATGCGGCAAACAAAATAAACAAAACTGAAGGAGTTACATACTTTCTAGTGGAGATAAATCTTTGGAAAGAAGAAAGAGCTCAGGGAAACCATCACTAGAAACTGATGAGGTTCTTCAACAAGCTGTAAGATCAAATTAATCCACAAAACTGTTCGTGATCTAGCCAAGGAGTGTGGAGTGGCAAAAGACACTGTATCTCGCCATTTACATGCCATGGGTAAGGCAAAAAGGTGCGATAGATTGGTAACACATAAGCTTACAACTTAACAAAGCTGTTAAGAACATTGGTTAGATTGAGGTCAACGATTACTGCATGGGACAGTTTGAAAAAATTAATGTTTTGTGTTTTTTGGAACTAAGAAGAAGCAATCCATCATGATATTTGTTCCTGATGGATGCAGAATAAACTCTGACTTCTATTGAGAACAGTTATGTATAATGTACAAGAAACCGTTGTTGCGTTATCCAGCTTTGGTCAATCGCAAAGGAGTTCAGTTGCAGAAAAAAAATGCACAGCCGCATACTTCTCAACAGGCCAAGAAAAAATATAAAAATCTTTATGGTATTATACTTCTTCCATATTCACAATACAGTCCGGATCTTGTTCTTGGTCTACTTCTTGAAATAAAAAAAATTTAACACATTTCATAAAGTCGAAACAGTGGATCAGGAATTTTTCAATAGCCATTCAAAAGAGTGGTATTTATATGGGATCAAGCAACTGGCTGAAAGATGGGAAATGGCAGTGTACCGCAATGTTATATTGTGAATATTAATTTTATGTTACGTTAAAGAAAAAATATATTAATTTTTTGTCGAAAAATATTTTTTTTTATATACAACTCATTATACATTTCTTTAAAAATGTATTAAAAGTTAATAAGAAATCATAATGTCAGAATAGTTTAATCATAATATGAATAATCCCTAGTTTATCTTTTTATCTCGGTTTAATCTGTTCAGTCATTACAATATCAGTCAGAGTCGTTAGATTTCTTCCCTACTAATCTTAATTAGGTCTTCCATAGAAATTACCTATCTTTTCTGGTGGAAATGGAAATATTCTCTTTGGGGTGGAAATGGCAGTGTACCACAATGTTATCTTTTGAATATTAATTTGGTTACGTTAAAGAAAAATATATTAATTTTTTGTTGAAAAACGATTTTTTTTATTTTTTTTATACAGCCTATTATTCCATAGAGATTACGTATCTTTTCTCTCATAACAGATTTTTTTTTTTAATTGACTAATTTGAATCTTAGGCAGATGTCAATTTTGAAAGAAAAATATATGTTAGAGAGGGTAAAGCATAGAGAAGGAAGAACCATGAACTCTACAGCTTGGAGGGAGCCATCGACATAGTACGGTTCATGAAGGTGGGCTAGACATGTAGCACGCATGGCGGAGAGTAGGAAAACTAGAAAAGTTATGGTGGTGCTAGACCAAAAAAAGGAGAAGAGAGAGGCCCAATTTGAGATGGATTGACGGTGTGGTCGTAGACACAAGGACAATATTTCACCAACAGAACTGGAGGGCATCGGCAAGAGACTGAGCTGGATGGTGAAAGAGGAGACCAACACCCACACCAGGTTGTAAAGCCATCGACCTAGAAGAATTGGAATGAATATGAACAGAAATTTAAGTTACTCCAATTCCGTTAGGGTACACACGCCTCTTGAATGAGGCACTCTTTGTTCATTACATAGTTCATTAAGAGACACTAAGATGCTTTAAGAAGACATTTCTCCTGACTTTTCCCATTTTTCCATATTTTCCAGATTGGTCGCCACCCTGTAATAGCTTTAGGCAATGATGGGAGGTCAGTGAAGTAAGGAATTAGAAATCTCAATAACTTGATAAATGGCTAGAAACAATCAATCAAGGAAAGAGAATATGTTTGGCAATAACAAAGATTAGAAATAAGAATAAAACTTAACATCAAGGTTAAGATGGCAGGAAAAGATTCGCTCACGATGCAAGATACATCATTGAAACTCAGAACTGTGGAAAGCAGCAACACAAGACTGTGATATCTGGCATGTATTAATACAACTGAAGAAGTAAATAAATTATTAATTACAGGCAATATCTTGTTAATCCAGACTGGACTTTAATCATCCGGATGATCCATACAGAATTAAAAAAATTAAATGAACTAAACATATAAGTTAATAAAAAATTAAGTATGGAAATAATTTTAAAGAGTGCGACTGACTTAAACCAGGTTAAACTTATGCATAATAACACAAACAAATTTTTTTATATTTATGTTCTACCAAAAGTTTTGTACTTCAGAAAATCTTGAAAAAACCCATATTACCTTATACATATACACATTACCTTGAGTATAATTTTTAATTCTAATCCTACCAATCCAAATCCATAAGGCAAGGAATGATAAGAGAGAAAAAAAACTAAGGTGTGTGCTTTAGACCTCACGATAGAAGTGAAAACATCAAATAGGCAAGATTAATAATATGAAATATAAATAATAGCCCATTACAGAGAAGATGAAATGTTGAACAATTCCCTCGCTTACAATATAAATGTCCCAGATTTAGTTTTTGAGATATTTTAATCCATATGCAAAAGTGCTTCAATTAGTCGACTCCAGCCGACTTCACCCGAGCGTTACACATCGAAGATCTGACGGCTCAATCTAATTCACTCTCCACAAAAAAAAGTGCAAAATATCCCTAAAGAAGTTTACACTTCTAAAAGTTCAACAACACCTTACCATTCTTTTCGCTACATCCTATTTGGGTAATTAAGCAAAAGGAAAATGTGTATTGATGAGAGAAAAAAAAATTATTGCCAAAACATTGTATGGCATGTATTTCCTTTTATTGCAACCTCTTAACTTCTCTTAAACTTTGAGCCTAATCGAACGAACCATTTTTGATATTTCAATGTATCTTAATTCATTTGCAAATCCCGAAGTAGAAGTTGTGGATAGAATTTGATGAAACTGATGTAGAGCCAACTTCTGTTTCATGTGCAATTTCAATCATGACATCAATATCACACAATTTTTTCAATCGACAATATCCCCATCAAAATAAAATAAATTAATGAAGAAGCTAATCATATTAAGAAAAAAAAAACTATCAGAAGATTGCGATACAGACAAAATCTTGAAAAGAACTAATTCGCCTGAAGAAGTACATCACACTAAGATTTATATGAGATAAATAAAATTTCTTTGAATTTAAATTAAAAAGAAAAAAACTACCCCTAAAGAAATAGTTTAATTAAATTATGTAAAGTCAATTCATTTAATAAACTAAAAATACCTGTATTTCTCTTCAGCTTAGTAGGTTGACTCGTGATTTCCTAAACAGAAAAAAAAAAACAATTAATTTACAACAAAAGTTTTGAATTCCTTAGCATTAATTAAAAATATTTTTCAATTTTAAAATTCATAATATAATACGAGAAATTAAATTAAATAAATTTAAATTAATAATATACATAGAAGGAAGTAGGGTAGTTCAGAGATACTCTGGGTCCCGGGATCGAGTTCAGTAGTGGCAGGTCATTTTTCATTCTGTTACCTAAGAGTTGGGAGATTCTCCTGGGGCATGTTCAGCCTATCTACAGTGGGTACTCTTAATTAAATAATTAATTAATGGGAAAAACCTGGTGGTTGAGCTTGATCTGGGTCAAATCACCTCCTTGCACAACCACTGACCAAGAAACAGTACTTTTCCTAAATAGAACTGAACCCAAGAACCTTTACTGGTTGTGGTTGTAAAGGCAATATATTATATATTTTTTTAATTTCAAAATTTTATATATAAATCAAGAAATTTTGAAACTATAATAATTTTGTTTGTTTTTGTTTACAAGCATAAAACTCTCAGATTATCAATGCCTAGGTCTGAAGAATTATTAAATGCATTCACTTTTCATTACAATTGGTAGTCCTCAAAAATTAAAAGAAACTTGTAAGAAAAAAAAAGTAATTTGCTATCGAATCATCAGGAGGTTTGGGACTAAAAAAAATTAAATTGATTCATAGCTGTACATTTCATTAAAATTTCAATAAAACATTATATTTTCAAATCATATAGTCTCAAAAAAATTTTTTTTTCTTTTTATGATTTAAACAAGTATATAAGTTAGCCAGGTTTGAATTTGCAAAGTTTTATAGCAATAAACATTATGTGCACATTATATATTTGTAAGGCACATTATATTTTAAGAAAGAAAATATCTTGACCACCGCCTCAGAAGTCGTCGGGGTGGGATATATTGGTTTGTGGTGGAATAAGTGCTTGTGGATCATTCATATATAATTTGACCATTTGAAGTCCTTGGGCTTCACATTCGTTTTTCACGTGTTTTTTCAGGTTGAAAAAAAAAAAAAAAACCTAGTGAGCACAACACAAAACTTTCACTTACCCCTCTACTTTGAATAGAAATTATTTTCTAGCCATTGTGTACACATGTCTGTATGTATGTGACAGGTCTAGCTCAAAAATAAAAAGTCATAAGAAAAGTGATATTGCATATTTAAGGTTTGTATACACACGAGATATTACAGCAACTTTTTCGTCAAAATCGGCTAACCGGGAGTGGCACTTTATATCATCGATGAAACAAATTTTTACTATTTTCTCGAAAAGGGCTCCAACGATTTTGATTAAATTCATTATATCAGTGTAAAATTAAGCATTTTTAATATTTATATAGGTTTTACTATCATTGATGTTCTCTAACAGGGCTTAAATGGCTAATTTGCAAGATTAGCTTCCTCTAGAGTACCTTTCATTTTTTTTATTTGAAACAATTAACCAATTCACATTGTTTTCTAATATAAAAAATAGTTGAATATAAAATATGAAAGAATTTGATAATAAAGGAACCAAAGGGATACGAGACCTCAACCGAGCTGGCCCAAAGATTAGTACAGGCTTTCATTTATATCATGAGCATAATAAAATATGGACTCCGACAATATGTACATTTACATATGCGGTTTTCCTAAATGTATTTGTTGGTATTATTTAATATTTAATTGTATAGATTATAGTGATATAAATATTAAAATTTGTATGTATAATGGTACTTAAACAAATAAACATATCCACAATGAAATATAAATCAATATAGCATTTATAATTTATACTTTCATTTCCTCTCTGTTTGAAAATACTTATTTCTGCTAATAAGAGGATGGTAAGTAAAAGTTGTGTGATGTGCGCACCACACCGGATATTTTTAAATCAGAATTGCTTTGATTCTGAAATGCTAAATGGTCAAATAATATAAGAATGACCCACCCTTGTGCTAATGGATTAGTGTAGTATGTCAGTCTCTGGTGGGAGTTTTAAGGATAATTTGGAGCATCTGTCAAATAACCTAGATAATATTCCTTGTCGTTTGTTCAGTTGTTTTCAGTGTTCAGTGTATTGGTTCCCCATATCAGTCTTTTATCCAGGTAAAGTCCCAAATAACATATAAATAAATAAAGATAAATATTTCACAAATAAAAATAAATAAAATGTACCTTTGGACGATTTATAACAATCGTAGTATGTTTCGACTTTTTAGTTTCCAGCACTGGAGTCAATTCGCCTTCTTCTCTAGGCGACTTCGGTTCTGCGTTTATACTTTCATCTTTCTTTTTACTATCATTTAGATCTTTTGAAAATCTTGCAGCTCTTTCATTTAGCTTCTTTCGAACTTCATCAGAGTCAGTTTCTTCACTACTTTTCTCTGGTAACTTAACCTCGTCCATTTCTACTGGTTTTGTTTCCTCTTTGTTCTCATCAGAATTCTCAGAGATCATTGGTGTTTCCTTTTCTGATGTTTCTTCCGGCTGAGTTAAACTTTCTTGAACGTTACTTTCTCCAGCATTACTTACGTCCGGAATGTTTCCTTCTTTATCTGATTCATTATTCACTTCTGCGGAACTGTTTTCCTTATTCAAGACAGTATCTCCTTCATTTTCCAAGGTAACACTTCCTTCTTTATCAACGGTGGTATTTCCTTCATCGGTCGATGCGGTACTTACTTCATTATCTACTATATTATTTTCCTCTTTGTCCATGGCAGGACTTTCTTCTTTATCCATGGAAGGACTTTCTTTTATATCCATGGCAGAACTTTCTTCTTTGTCCACCACGGTACTTTCTCTACTGTCTGCTGGAGCACTTTCTTTATTGTCCGCAGGAGTAATTTCTTTATTGTCCGCAGGAGTACTTTCTTTATTGTCCGCAGGAGTACTTTCTTTATTACCCGCTGGAGAACTTTCTTCGTTATCTAATACAGTATTTTCTTCGCTAATCACTGCACTACTTTGCTCCTCAGTAACCATCTCCCTATAAGAGCAATCAAAGTATATATTAAAAAAATAAAAATAATAATATGATAAAATTATGAATACAAATAATTTAAATGATGATAGAAATGCTAAATTAACTTAAAGCAAATGTCACCCATATTAGCATACACATATATGTACATAAGTGTGTTTGTGTAGTTATATATATAAACCGTATTTACACATTTCACAAACAATGAGAAGCACTAACGTGTAAATGGAGTGTTTCTCTGGATTAGTGTTTGTGTCCTTCTGAGACTAATAGATTTGCTGTCGGTTTTTCAAGAGAAATCAAAGGAAATTTGTGTTAGCTGTAGTGTTGCTTTTACATATTTGTTTATTGTTTGTGTTGTTTGAGAAATGTCGTAGAATTTAATGGTTTCTGTAACAATTTAAATTAATTTTCTTAGCCATCATCTTCTTTGATGAATTTAGTACATTTTTAATTTTCTCTTGCTTCCTTTTAAAATTATAATATGTTAGGGTAATTGCGATTCCAAGTATTATCCATGTTTGTTTCTATGAAAATACAGAAGCGTTTTTTTTTTGCATCTGTTTGTGTTTCTGGTGTTTTATAAATGTATAAATCCGAGCCAATGGATCAAATAAAATTAAAACGAAGCAAAAAACATATAAAAATAAGATTTAATATATAATACTAATATAATGAAAAATTAAACAAATCAAAACTTAGCTGATAAATTTTTAATTAATCCAAAATTTTATTAGAATACAAAATTATATAATATACAATGATTGAAAATAGCAAATTCACAAAAATATGTATGGTACTAACTCATCTGGCTTTGTAATTTCTTGCGAAGTCCTTTCCACTTCCTTCTCAACATTGATTGGCTGTTCCGATTCGGCTGTAGACTTCTCGGAAGACTCGTCTGTAAGTTTACTTTCTTGCGGTTGATTTACTACCAGTAAATCTGATTGACATTTATTATCATCATTATCAACATCCATCTTTTGTACATCACAGACTGTAACTGCTTCTTCAGAGGAACCGGTATTTTCTACAACTGGTTCAACATTATTACATTCTGGGGTTTCTTTCGAAGGATTTTCTGCATCAGGAGACGCGTCATCTCCTAAACTTGTCTGCGGTATTTCTATGTCATTGACAGGTTGTTCTTCAGGTACTGATTCTGTTTGATTGTCATTGTTCACTTTAGTATCCTCGTCGTTTTCAAGACCTGGAATCACCGGAGTTTCAGGGGTGGTTTTTCCTTCCGAAACTTCATTGTTAATCTCTAAAGATTCTGTACTGTCATTAGGTGTATCCAGATTTTTTGATGACCTGGTAGATCTAAAAATACAAATAATCACAAAAAACTTTTATAAAATGTCATTGATTTACACTTAAATATGATTAATTAAAAATTATAAAACAATTTAACCTCTAATAGGACAGAATAACTTTTGTAATTAATTTCCGAATTAGTTAGTAAAAAGGTAGTTTCTCCTGATATCAAGCAGATACTTATCATTTAACATTTAAAAATAACAAATATAGACAAATTTGAAGTAATTGAATTCTTTAAACAATTGACGGTTCATTGTTAAACCGTCATTGTCGATTAAAACCTTTAAGAACTTTATCTAGGTACATCTTGACTGCACGAAAAGCTGGTCTTATAAAATTTCTCAACCAATCCTATGGTTTTATTCAGAACATCTTGATATCTTCAATTAACAGGTGTGTTTCTTCTCTAGACACTGTAAAGCTATATCCTTATTGATAAGGAGTCATCGAAATACTAGATTAATGGCGAGCTCTGCATGTTGTGAACCGTTAGTGTTAGTAGAATTAACTAATGGACTTGTAATCGAATATGAAAATGATTGAGCAAATGACAATATGAAGAATATAAAGCCTTATTAGTAACTCTTATAACTTATAGATTCTTCAAAAGCTACTAAAGAATGTTGAGATCTCCAAAAGAGAATGTTACAATTTCTAATTAGTTCAACGCATACATAAAATATATTCAGAAATACAGTGGGGCTCACAATCAAAATAATACTATTGATATTGAATAAATAAATAGTTCAATTTATATTACATAGAAAACAATGATTTATTGTAATCCATAAACATCCTAATAATATGTTATTTTCTTATAAATTTTTTCTTGTTCTTATGTAATGTTCTGTTTCTTGGGGAGGGAGTGTATGGGGGCTTCTAGTGTAAAAAATCTTCACTTTATAGTGGAAATATTCACATGATATAGTGAGCAAACATGTTTACATAGATTGATTTCGAAAAGAAACTTGAAAGAAATTGTAGAAAATATGGAACTAAAAAACCAAGTTAGTTTTATAAGAATAATGACTCCAAATACTCTGCCATATTACTTGAGCTGTGGCTACTTTATAATTGCCCTAAAGTTAAAAAAACTCCACCACAGTCCCCAGAACATAATGTGATAGAACACCTGTTGGAAGTAGATGGTACGGGGTGGCGGTCATAAATAGGCTAAATAGTGGCAAAACTATTTTATTAAAAGCCAACATTTCGACCCGACTTTGCAGGTCTTCTTCAGGGAGGTGTGTTCAGCTAGGAACTCTGGTTTGATCTGCATTTTTAGAGGAAAATCTGTTGCTCAGTTTTTATAGTGAGCTGTTTATGGAGGTAACAAAAATTATTAAAACTTCAGTTCTAAGTGAAACTCCTAGCACAACACACCTCCCTGAAAAAGACCTACAAAGTCAGGTCGAAACGTTGGCTTTTAATAAAATAGTTTTGCCACTATTTAGCCTATTTGTGACCGCCACTCCGGACCATCTCCTTCCTTTATAATGCAACTGTCAACTATTAAATATCCAATATAAACATGAAATTTCTAGCAAAGAAGAATCAAAAACATATCTTCTCAAAGAGTGGACTAGGCAAGACCCGAAATTTACCAAAAAATTGGTCGACTCCATTACAAACAGACTGAAAGGAATGGTAGAGAATAATGGCTTACATATAAGTTTAATTTTAATGATATTAATGACTAAAATGGCATACAAATGGTAATAATAATCATTGTAATAAAGAATAACATACTTTCTTCTACGAGGTGAAGCTTCTTTAGTCGGGGAAGAAGAGTCATTAGACTCGGTAACCCTTTGCCGACATATTTTTAATTTTTGAATTTCACCACCAGAACCATTCGAACTTTGAATCTTCCACGTTATACCACCGTCCCCGCTTACTTTCAATTCACTGGTAGTTTCTACCTATAAATCAAAAGACAAAACATTGGTTAGGAAAATATTATTTATAAAAAAATATATAGAATTAAATATTTATTTATCGAATATCAGCTCTCATTTTATAGATAATATATTAATACAAAATTTATTTAATATGCAAAGGTTGAATAAAATATAAAAAATGAAGATTTGACTCTTTACTGATGACAGTCTCTGTATAATTGTTTTATTTTACAGCTTAAAAAACTAGAAGCTTTCAGTGTACCTGCACCATCATATTCATCTCTTTTTTTCTTAACTATTTTTTTTATTTAAAAAATTTCTGATTGGAACAGTTTCAGTGTTCTTCATCTCACATTATATTTCTTAGAGAACAGAAACACCATTTAAAAAAAAAAAAAACAGATGAATTAAGATACAGGTAAACCAAAATCTTCTCACATTTAAGGTGTAAAATAAAACAATTAACTGATGAATTGATGAATTCACCTAGCACGAGGTATATTCATTAGATGCACAACTCTTATGATTATTAATAAACTCTTATGATTATTAATAAAGTTTTTATTCAATAAAGGTGTTAAATAATCGCGTATCATTGCATGTTTGAAGAGATGTTTGGGCGGAACAACACTTTCCTAGAATGGAATGTATACGTAAGGAAGAGAATAAAATAAAAAAAAATCGAAACCGAAATACTTGATCATCATCATGATCTGCGGTACAACTCCTGTAGAGTCAAGATCTCCAGCAGTTTGGTCCACCAGTCTTCTCTATTGGTTGCCGCCGCTCTGCGGATTTCCAAGATGGGTCTGGAGCATCCGCTGCCAGTCCATCGATCCATCGGAGCTGAGATCTTCCCACTATTCTTGCCTTATAAATTCTTTTGCCTAGGATCATCCTAGGAATCTCATCCGAGGTCATTCTAATTATATGGCCTGCTTATCGAAGCTGTACCGTAACAATATCTGAGCTCTTGTAGAGTCTTGTTAGCTCAGCATTCGTCCTTATCCTCCAGGTTCCAGGTTGGCTCAAGTTGGACCATAAATTCTCCTCAATGCTCCTCAAAGTTTCAGTCAATCCAAAATACGTAATCACCACACAAAAACAATTTAATAACATACGTTATTTTCTAGAGCTTATTGAAGGTGAGCACTGGTCCACTATTGAAAAAATCTATACAAAATTAGGAATCAGCTATGGCAGGACTCGATCCATTATATTGAGGATTCAGAAAAGTTAGTAATCAATGGTTTTTGGAGTTGTTGATCAAAAATCAAAAATAGGTTAGGCTGGAGATCAGAGTAAGACATATCTTAATTGATTTCATAAAAGAAGGGTAGATTTTTTTGAGGTTCATCATCACATGATGAGATATGATGGGCAGGAAAACCTACTAACACCTTACTCTCATTTTAGTCCGAGCTTATTCCTATATGACTATTTTTCTTGTTGAACACACAGGAGTCTAGGGGAGACAGGTTATGGTTGTGACGTTCGTCATATAAACAAAACTATAAAGAATTGCCGATACGTTTATTAGGAAGAAAGGAATGTTGTACCTGTCTGAACGTGTTTAACAGTATTGCAACGCATCACACGACATTAACAGTAGTAGAGGTCTGCATTACTTTTCAATAAACAAAGGTAACTATTTTTTCTTTTTTCTGGGAAGTTGTATAATATTCTTAGTTATTTGGCAATAATTACTTCCAATTAACAACAATTGAATATATTTTTTGTATTATCAAAGTTACATATTTACAAGTTTACGTTTCAGGATATTTACTCCCATCTTCAGAACCACAATCCCAATGATTATTTTTAAGGTAATTACGAATTTATTATAACAACAAAATTCTGACATGTATTGTGACATGCACTAAATTTTAACTCAAAAAATTTTTTAGCCTTGCATCTACAAGATCATTGGGATTGTGGTTCTGAAGATGGGAGTAAATATCCCGAAACATAAACTTGTAAACATGCAACCTTTGATAATACAAGAAATATGTTCAATTGTTGCTAATTGGAAGTAATTATTGCCAAATAACTAAGTAACTATTTTTATTCAATTTCTTTGAATAATTGCTGTTATATATTGTAATATACACCTTTATTGGAAGTGAGTAAAAAGTTTTTAATTCAAATTAATGTTGAACAATTAAAAAGGCAAGCTAATCTAGTTCTACTAGTGCAGGGAAAAGAAAATGGCAGCTCTGTAGTTTCCCAAGATCGAAAATCCCAAAGAGGAGAGGGACAAAGCTTTTTGTTTTGGCAAACAGTTGTTGTGCGGCTGCAGTTAAGAGAGGATAGGAGAAGGGATCCTGGCTCCAGTGGGTAAAACCAAGAAATAGTATTACCATCTTGGAAGTTGTTGTTGGGCAGAACATTGGAAAGCATTTGAAGACAAATGAATTTAGTGCAATAGAGGAAGAAATAGTATATATAGAAAAAAGGTCAGCTTGTCAATTCATACTTGACTTTATTTTAAAATCAATGTTTAATTTTAATATAAATAGTGTAAATAATAATAGTTTGTCTGAGTTGATCTGATTATCAGTAACCCACACCTGAGATAAATAAATATATTAATACTCTTATAATTTTGTTTATTATTAAACAACCTCTTATTTATTTAGGAAGTATCCCAATGGTAAGAAGTGAGCTTCCGGGGTTATATTATTATTATTTGTAAAATATAAGAGAAAAGATGTTACAATATGTACAGATAGAGCATTGAAAGTTTTTCCTCGTTATAAATTAAGCATTAGTTGTTAATTAGCAGTTACTTTGTACATAGATAATTTTATATTGTTGAGGCAATTTTTTTTTTTTGTAAAGGAGTGCATTGGATATGCTTGTGACATATTTTCTGGGTAAGGTTGTGACAAGAAAAACAATTTTTTTATCTCTAGATACCCAGAAAACGCTTGAGAAAAACCAAAAGTTAATTCTTACACAAATATTTATGCCTTATTAGTTGTAAGCGATTAGGTTGTTATATTATTTTATATAATACAATAAAAATGATTTTAGATTAATTTTTTTAATCTGTCACGGCCAATCCTTAGCACTGCCAACCACAACCGTCCTTAGGGTAGGGTCTGTTGTGACATTTTTTTTTTTTAATTTGTTCCAATGAGATAACCATTATACTTATGGATAAAATTTTAGTATTTATAAGTAATCAAACTTGTACACTTAACTATAGAAAAACACCTTTCTTTTATCTAATTGATACTCTTAACAAAATTCGAGACCACTAAATAAAAACCATCAGAACAGTACCCAGTCCTCCACTAGTACAATGAGGAAATGCTTAAAGTATGGGAGGGTGTATAGCAATAATCAATAATAGCAAAACTATTAATTAAGTTCATATTTAATTCACCCTCACACATCAAACGTAAACTATATTAGAATTAAAAATAAAATCATACCAGACTGAAACGACAAGAAACCACTCAACGTTTCCGATTACTTCAGGACTTACTACACAAACGCTCTAAACTTCCAATTAATTACAAAAGACTCATATACATGACTATAGTAAGGCCTATTTGGACTTACAGAGTTGAGCTATGGGACTCCACTAAACCATCGAATTCCTCTCGTATCCAATCCTTAAAATCCAAAATCCTTAATGCTCCCTACTTTATTACAAATAAAACTATCCATAATGACCTTAATGTTTCTTATGTTTCAGATCTGGCCCAATCCAGATACCTATCCTTCCATAATAAACTTCAGAATCATCCCAACCCTCTCGATTCTAACCTTGCTTCCTCTTCAATTCCTGATAACCCTCCGAGGCGTCTGAAAAGAAGATGGCCCCGTGATCTCCTAATGTAGACATATCATTAGAGTGCTGCCATTGGGTAGTTTCTCAACAAGTGTTTTCACGTCATTATATCCATATGTTCAAATTTACTAAATGTATTTCTTTAATACAGTTGTAAATATCATTAAGAAATAAAATAAAATATTTATGATGCTCGTTAAATTGTAATAAAAATAAATTATCAAGTAAAATAAATGTTGCTAGTAGTGTTACATATACTTATGATTGAAGGTGATAAGGTCTGAATTTGCAAACATATGTATACATATTTTTTTTAATGTTTTTCAAAAATATGAGTCAATATATTTTTTATGCAAGTTAACAAGGATTAATATTTGAGACTCCCTAAAAAAAAAATAATAATAAAATTTAAAACTAAATTTAAACTTTTTTTTATTAAAAACAATGTTCTCATCTGAAAAAAATGTAACATTTTTGTAATAAAATTGTCATTTAATTAAAAAAAAAAAAACATAATACATTAACCCAAACCTCTCTTTTTGGCACCCATTAGAAAATATGTTTTTAAAAGTTGAAATGATATAAAATCGTGAATAGCAAAATGATTAATTTATTGTAACTTTTTTTTTAAATCATGAAATCCATGAAGTTTTAGACGGATATTAATAATTTGATTAATAAGGCTCAGTACTAATACTCAGTATTAATACTTTATCATTATTATTTTACTTTTGAAAGAATATTTAAACGGTTTTTGTTGCATATAAACCTGGGCCTTTGTGATAAGTAACGAAAATGAATTAAAAACCTATTAAATCAATAAAAGACAGTACATTGTCATTTCTCACTTTTATAAACTCGGTTCTGAGCCAAGTATTAAATTTATATGATAATGGTAGGAGTAAATATTTCACTTTATACCTTTATTCTTAAAAATAATTTAATTTTTCCCGAAATTTTACATATCACCTATACACACTTAACCCTTAAATTGTATACATACAGTCCATAGTATACCAATAAGAATAATTAGTTTTGTTTCTGTTAGATTTTTTGCTCTATTATATAAAATGGGATGTTTGTATTTATCTTTTAAACAAAACTTAAGTTTCGTTCTTATCTTGATTCGGCATTAATCAATTTGGCACACCAGACCTGTCAAAATGAGATTTTGAAAACACAACACACACTACTAATCTCACATCTCACTTCCTCCCTTAAAGTTGATTATAATCCTAAATACCTTTGATCTTGACTCAATTTTATGGTTGGTTTTCAAGATGAATCAGAAGAAATTTTCCAATTGCCTTATTTTTTTTGCTCAAGGCAGTTAATGAAATACCTATTAATACAAAGACGCACACACAAAAAAATTAATTAATATTCGATACTATTTATTAAATAGTAATTTCTAAATGAAAATAATAAAAATTGTCTTTATTTTCAAGCCAACTTCAACATCTAAAACCAAAAGGTAATATTATAGAAGTGTTAAATCAGATTGATAGGCGTGCCAATATCATTCCGAACACACTGTTCGCACAATGACAGAGCTAATGGTTTGTTTCCATCAACAATCGGAAACAATCAATCTCTTTAACATCTCAGTTAATAAAGAACTGTGTGAACTAACATCCTAAATGTATTAATACAATTCACTAACTTTTAATAACAATAATTATGAAAACAGGAATTTAATTAATATAACAGTTATTAAACATAAGAAACGAATAAAAAGTTAAAACAGTACCAAAAGACCAAGATAATAATGCAACAATGGTCAAGATAACACAAAAATAATAAGAAAAATTGTAAATTTAATTTGATTTATGTGAAATAGAAAAGTTTTAAAAAGTGTTTTAACAGATGATTTAAACATGGCTTTATTTACATTTATTTTTTTTTTTTCGGTTACTTCAATAATTAAATTTTAGTACTATTTAAATTTTAGTTATTAGTATATGAAATGTAACCTAACCTATCAAAAAAAGATGTATTCAGTTAGCTTTGGCATTCCTGGAAGTGTGATCTAGTGATCTTGGCACATCTGTCAATCGACATCACACTTAAATAGTATTACCAAAAACATCTACTGGAAGAAATAACGTATCCTCAATAATATTAAGAAAGAAGAAATTATTAATGGTCCTAAGATCAAGGAATATAATGAAACTTTCATTAAATACATATCATCAATAAAATACCAATGAGAAAGATGATAACTACAAAGAATTCACTTTATCATCCATCTAATTCATACAATAATACCAAATCATTTGACCATGAAAACCACTACTACATTCTCCTCGCATAGATAAAATTAAAGGCAAACCAAGAATTAATAAGAAAACAATGAAAAGAAAGAATTAAGTCCCAACAAAACAAAAAATAAAATAAAAACAAGCCATGCAGCAATAATCAATATAAGGAAAGTATTAAGCCTGTCAATGATAGGATTTTAGTAGGAACGGCCAGAATTGACTTTACGATTTTGTTTCGATTAGTTCAATAAAAAGTCTAGAGGTTCAGAAGCTTAGGCAATGTATTAATAAAGGGATCAAATAATCATATTATAGTCATATTCTCCAAATTATTATGCAGTGCAAAATATCACATTATTTCTAGCAACCATATTTCTTAAAAAGAAATGTTATATTTTTATACGCTTTTATAGTATAGTCGACTCGCGATAATTCAAAATCCAAGAAAATATTAAAAAATTCAAATTATCGAGACTTTGAATTTGAATTATCAAGAGTAATGAAAAAAATTTATCTGCTTCCGCTACTTTCTATTCCTAATTTTGTAATCGTTATTTTATATTTCATGTTTCTGCCTCTTCACTCATCCATTAATGTTAAGTTTATTCTACCTACATATTATTAGACTATACCTTTCACCTACATGTTATTAATTTCTTTTTCATTATAAAATAAGGCTCCGTTTAATTTTTCACTATATTTATTTTTATTTTCATAGCTACGTTTCGGCCGGTAAGCCATCCTCAAGCCATTTTATCCAACCATGCTTCTTGCATGTAGTCCAAAGTCTCATTATCCTTGATTAAACTTCAATCAGACTTTGGACTACATGCAAAAAGCATGATTGCATAAAATGGCTTGAAGATGGTCTATCGGACGAAACGTAGCTATGAAAATTAAAATAAATATAGTGAAAAAATAAACAGAGCCTTATTTTATAATATTATAAAATTTTCATCTAAAACAAGCACATATTGATTCTTTTTTATATTGTTAATAGTTTCTCATACCTATTGTTATCTAGTGTTTTCTAAGCCCTGATGAAGGCCTGAACTTTGGGACACAACATCGGCAAAAATAAATATTATTTAGTTATTTTGACTGAACACCACTATTTATTGTTAGTGTAGGTATTGGTAAAGATAATTTCAATTTTTTTTATCAAATTTTCAAAGAGTTTATTATTATATTTTTTAAAATATGTACGTGCTTACATATATTTAATTTATAAATGGCCTCATATAAAAAATATTACTAAGAAAATTTCGATTTATGAGGCAAAGCGGTCTAGTTCGAATTATAGATTGTTCTCTCCCCCTCTTTTTACAAAAACGGATTTTGAGTTACCAAGCTATCAAAATACAGTAACAATTGGCATAGTTAACAGCTGAAGAGTTTGAATTGTCAAAAAATTCTAATTTTCAAGGTCCGAATTATCGAGAGTCGACTGTATTATACAGAAAGTCTCAGCTCATAACGGGCAAACTCTGGGAGGGATTCTAGACAAAATTTCCAACAAAAATCATCATAAAGTATACAACATTTTTTTTTAGAAAACAGTCATTAAATTTACTAAGGCCAATGACAAAAGGGACTTTCAAGAGGTCTAATAATCTGTGACTGCAGCTGACAGCGGCCGTATTAGACCTGAAAATCCCTTTTATCAATGACCTTAATAAATATAATTACTTTTTTTTTCTAATTTTGTCTACTTTACGATGATGTACATAAAATTTTAGTATCTTGAACAGTTTTATAGCAATTCCTTCTTATTCAATAAAAAACCATGACCATGTAAAATTGGTATTAGCTCCTTTTCCGTTCGGAACCGTCCCATGCATTAAATAAACTTTTTTGTTAGAAATTTTGTCTAAAATCACTCTCCTGAGTTTGGCCATTAAGAATATAAGCGATACTTTCATATTTGTTCAAATTATACTTTTTTATTATTATGAACAATATCACACAATGTCAAATATAGAAAAACACACATAGAAAAATATTTGGGATACTTTAGGTGGGGAGTCATGATTTTTTAGTTCTCCATTAATACTTCGAAAATGGCTGGTCATAACTTAAAACATATTAATGAAAAAGTATTTAATTTTCTACAAGAATATGACTATTATTTTTTTACGTATCTGTGATAGTTTAAGAAATACATGCACAACAAAATAAAAAATTAAATATCAACTATTGAGAAATCTTTCACCTAGGAAAATAGTAAAAATCATTAGACCGTGGTACAGACCCCTTTATATCAAATTATTAACATCTGGCTGAAATTTTGTAAATAACTTCATCTCATCGTAACCTACAAACATTTTATTTATGAAAATTCTTGACATTGGGACGTTTTCAATCTGGAGGTCAGCAAACTTTGTCCATTTAATTAGGTACTAAAAACTCGTAACTACCCATTTTCTTTCTAATTAATCGTGAGATAACTTGAGCACAAAGGCGAGAAACAACGTGGCCTTAAAAATAGTGAGTCGTTTGGCCTATATGAACTCATTGTTTTGACAATTTGGAGATGTAGGTCATGCCAAACGGCTCAATATTTTTGAAGAGCACCTTTGTGCTCAAATTATCATATGATTAAAGTGGAAAGCAAATGGGTATTTAAAAGTTTTTTAGTATCTAATTAAATAGACAAAAGTTTGCGACCTCCTGATTGAAAAGATCCAATTCCGAGAAGTTTTGGAAATAAAACATTTGTAGGTTACTATGAAATGAATCTATTTACGAAATTTCAGCCGGATGTTAACAATTTAATAAAAGTAGGTCTGTACCACGGACTACATAGTATGAACAATTTTTTTTTTTCTCTTATTTTTATGAGCGAATATTTCTTATACTATAACAGATATCAACACAAATTAATAGGTAAATTTTTGGAGAAAATATATTTAAAAAATCTGAATAACATGACTTCTCCGGTGCTCCAAAACCTTGAGATTTTTTAGTGAGTTAACCTATTAACTAGTACAAAGCCTTAAATTCAATTCTAGCCGTCATTTCCATAAACATTTTTCTTATGAGAATTCATTGACTGGACTAAATGTAATAATCAAAAACCTTACAGAGACCTAAGAAAAATCAAAATGAGCAAGGTAGAACAGATTTAGCAAAACTAGAATACATTTCATGCTGAACCCAATCATTAAGAAAAATTGATTTTTTCAATTTCAATGATCTATCTACATTCCGACAACGGGGTTAATGCTGATGTAATATTCTTACTGGAGCAGGTCCTTCCGAGTGCCAAAAACTTGGATCTTCCTCCCATTCATTATTTTGTTCGGGACGGTTGGGCTCTTTGTCAGATTGTAAGGCAGCTGGGTGCCTTCGAACGGAACGGCGCGAGCGCGCACTGTCCTCTTTCGCTTCAGGGCCCTCGGGCTCTGTCTGTAGTTTGGATTCAGAAAGTTCACCAACCTCCTTAATCTCTTTATCAACCACCACTTCCGGCTCTCCTTCGGATTCCGATGAAGACTTCTTCTTCCGCCTTAACGCCTGCCGCGTGCTTTTTCTAGTCCTCTCAGGAATAAATTTCTCTGGCGTCCCTTGTGCCTTATTCCTTTCACTTTTGCGAACCATTGTCCTGAAATATAAATAAACAAAAATAATATTGATGAATTAGGAACAGAATTTAAAAATACATTAAATAACAACTGGGAGTATTTGAATAAATAATATATAAGTTATATTATAGAAAAAAGCCGGGCGAAACTTGGGATCAGAGAAGAACAAGGTATAGATCGAGAACTTAGGAAAAATATTCTCAATGACATTTTGGTCAAGGAAAACCACAATAGAGGAAAACTACTTAACAAAAATAATAATAAGTTAAGAGCAAAAATGGAATTAGACAATTTGAATTAACGAAATTTAACCGTTAAGACAAATTTATTTCAAAGATGAAAATAATTGCAATCCAAGCTGAAAATACCTAGAACCACAGGCAGATCTATGAGAGAGGAGGAGATTTCGGGATGAAGCCTCCCAAAATGGTAAAATATCATTTACTAGGACTTCAAAAATCACTTAAACAACATTTCATATAGTTAGTTATTTTCTTTCTGTTTCTTCCAGATTAATTACCATTATATATAAAAAATTTGTACTGATGCCCCTCTTCCAAAAATAAATCTTGGATCTGCTAGTGTTTAGCAGAAATCAAATTAACATAGATAATTGTCATATAAAGCCTTTAGCGATATGTATAAGTTCGATTAAGGTTACGAGATGTAACCTATTAGTCTAATATAATTCCGTGAGTGAGCCGACGGCTCATGCTGTAAAACGTACATTGTTAAGAGTATAAAACTACTTCAATGACGGGAAAGTTATAAGTAACTGATAAAGAGGTCGGTCACCTTCGTTCCCTTTCCGGTAAACTCTGATGCATTCAGCACTGAATGATGAAGTGTGACCAAAGTGATTGTGAACCACTAATAAATCGTGGGGAACTCATGTGAACTAGTACCATTGATTATGCTAAATGTGAAAAATGAGAATTTAAAAAATTGGGTAGAATATCAAGATGCAATAATTAAATATAAAGTTCGAAAGATTATTATTATTTCCAAATATTCAACACTGATTATAGGAATCTAGATTAATTCATAACTCAGAAACTAGATTAATTCATATCTAAGCTAAACATAAACTAAAAAAGTTACTAGAAATTGAAAACAACAAATAATAAAATTGTTATAACCTTTACTAAACCAATAAAACCACATTGATAATCTAATTTTGAAAATTGAATAAATTTTGATGGAGATGTCAAATTTACATTTGTACAGAAAAAGAACAAAAAACAAACTATCCAGTGAATATATAGATATTAATTTATTCTGGCTAGTTTCTTTCAGATGAACCATTAAAATTTTCATGACACTGGGATTCTTCAGCCAATAATACAATTTAGATTAGATAAATCAAACATTAATAATAAAGTTTTCAATAATTACATATATTAATTAAAGTAAATATACAAAAGTATAAATGAATCAGTAGTCAAATAATGTCATACTACAACAGAAAATCATCTTGGTATAATATAGGTTATTAATCAAATGATTTTGTAAAACAAGAAATAAACCCAAAATCATAAATTATGAAAAAGATAAATCTAAGAATGAAAATTAACAAATTACTAAGTAAGAAATAAACTTTAAAAAAATGAAGTATACTAATAGAAAAAAAAATGATTGCCCAACTTTTACATAAATCTGAGTAGGTTATCATTAGTAAATTAGAGAAAATTAAAAGTAGGTTAATATAATGTAGAGGAAAAACACAAAACTCTTACCTATTTAATACTTCATAGAAGAATTGATTATTAAAATAAATAACGGTCACAGATAATTAAAAAAAATAAGCGTCACTTAAAATCACATTTGTTGTTAGAATAATACAGAACAGCCATACAATGGCGACCGCTTTATTTACTTCTTGTCAAACATTACACTGTCCCGTATTATACTATTATAAACAATTATTGTTTACATAACAAATCAAATTAACAAATAACGTCAAATAAAAAAATCTAGAGCACGTTAACTTTCAAGAGGCCTTAAAAACTTTCAGAAAAGCATTGATTAGTATCTGCCACAGCCAACTAAAACAGAGCATATATTATACAAAGCACTATTTGAACCAGAGAGATAGGCTTTCAACGTTATAAAATATTTTAAATTATTGAAGTTTTTTTTATTGATAAATTCGTTTTAAGTCGTTAAATTAAGTAAGGCGATGACAAAACTTAGTCTTTGGTGAGATTATTTTCTTAAATGACCTCTTAACAATTTTTTTTATTTAGGATTAATTTGTGTGAAATGAGACAATTTTTAATTCGAAGTTGTCAATATTTACATTTCTTTTAAATTGTAAATAAGAAATTATCAATCAATTGTTCCCATATTGGTCCATCTACAGAAGCCCCTTCGTCTCGTTTACGGCTCGGGACAATTCCCGTTGTTATAATGGCCAAGTTCGTGAACTCCACTCTGAACTCATTTTTTTTTTTCTTTTTTAGCTTTAAGACTTGTAAAAGCAAGTCCTATTTTGCCAGTAAAACATTTTAATTGTCATAGAAAGATGATATTACACTGGATATATAATTATTATCTATAGATAGATGATCACTGATTGTAACTTATAACTTATATGGAACTTAAACTAGAAAAACTAATAGTTAAAAACTGAGTTGAATTAGAATTACAATAAATGAGAGGCGACTTTTATTATATGACTGTTTTTATGTCATTCAAAAACTTTATCAACTCACGGACATTATCCTTATTCATCGACCGAAGAAAGTTAGCTCAATCATCCGTAGTTTGCGATCTTAAACTAATTCTTCTTCGCTTTTCGAATCTTTTGCACTTGAAGGCAATGTGTCTTGGATCCTCCAAGCATTGGCATGTTGGGCAGTGACCACTTTTAGCTGTACCCATTAGAAGTAAGCTATACACATTATATGTTACTGAGCTCATTAGTAGACATCGGAAATCCATCAGTTCGTAAACTCATCGATAGATCCATCAATGGACTTTAGTGCATTCATCCATTGAATCACTGACGGCTCAGCAGTTCATCGGCTTTTGGAATAGATGGATCCGCTGATGTTACTGACTATTGGGCCTTTTCGAGGAAACCCTGAAGGTTGAATTAAATATAAACTTACTGTAATTCCTCCCAACTATTTCTAAGAAAATACATTTATTAATTAATAATTATTAATCTTTTTTCAATTGTTATTATTATAAATACCGAAATCAGTGTATGCGCGTCCAGTCTAATATTCCTCAGATGATTCCATTGGGGAAAAAGTATCACAGAGAGCTGGAAGACGGGATGGCCGAGCACGTTGTGGTTTGGGTCATAGAATTCCCGATTCTGAACGTTGTGAGTTCGATTCTCACCTGGGTCAGTTACTTTTCATTCTCGGCGACCCCAGGAAATGGATCGTGACGTTCCCACTCTTATAAGTGTGCGGAGGCAACCTCATGGAAGTCATCAGAGGTTGGCAAAAAGAACGACGATAGGCCTACTTGCCTGACTAGTTTCTCCCATCAGTACCAGTACCCATCATAGAGAGTTCTTTTTAGCTCGTAAACAATTTATGTTACCATGGAGCAATCCATCAAGAAGCCACTACACAATAACGAATGCCTCCAAAGTAGGCAAGAAACCACGCTGAAGGCCAAAAACTAGACGGATAGATCGAATCAACAAAGATGCTATAAAGTCGCATGTATATAACTGGACAGAAATAGCCAAAGATAGGCAGAGATAGCGAAGAATGGTTAAGGCGACAAAAAATATAGGTCAGTAAAGGCGAAAGAAAAAAATAACTCTTTAATTTGTGAATAGGAGCTTCATAATGCAGAGTCAATGTAAATGAAACAGAATCAAAAGCAAAAAAATAGGTTAAGGAGGGAGATTGCAGCGTTATAAAACTAAGTCTAGTTGGAATATATCATGTGTAGAAAACAAGAGAAAGCAGTTAGGTCGTAACCTAATCGGTCAGATGATTGATTAGAGCAATACTCCATCACTTCTGCTGGACTCACAAATATACCTACATGGGTTTATTATAATGGTAATACTGACTATAGCAGAAGGTTGCAATTTTAAACGGCTACAAGGTATAACCTTGAGAAATTGGTTCCTTAAATATACTATTATTCAGTGGAAAAAATCATTTTTTCACTTATTTTTGTAACTCTTGCTGCTAAAATAGTTTATGTAAATTAAAAAGTAGGATTCAACTTACAGCTTGAACAAGATCAGTTGAGAGCCGAGGACGAACTAGAAAGACACTTGCATTAGAAGATTAGATCACTCTCTATATGTAATATTATTTTTAAATATTTTAAAATTGATATCGGAAAGTAATGGACAAAACAAAACGAAAGTTTCGACTTAATACCACGAGAGTTTTCCTCGCCTTAGGGCTATCATCTAATCTTGGTCGAATTTTAATGATTTGGGTCTGAAGAAAATAAATATTTGGATATATTCAAATGAATGAACTCATGGATTTAGTTAAATTCGATAAGGAAATTTGGATACCGTGAATTTGCTGACCACAAAGAGATAATACAATATTTCAGAATATCAGCTCCTACTTTGAGAAAATTATTTCCAACACAAAATAAAGAGGGATAGAACCATCCCTAACTGAGGTACTTACGTATCTCCTAGTGAGGAACGATTTCTCTCACTTAATAAAAAAGGATACCTTCTCGTACTAAAAGGCTTTTGTGTGTGGATTTAGAAAATCGTATACCTTGTCCACTTCTTGAGAAGAAAAGTAGCTGTTCCGCTGTTCTACGTAGAAGAGAAACGCAGAATATTACGTGCCTAAAAACGTTTGAGATAGGTTGGGTCGATTGCTGTTTTATATTCGCACAGTATATTTTAAAACGTTGCAGTACTGCTAGTGTTTTTATGTGAGATTTCTTTCTTTAGGTGATTTTATTTGGTTCTCAAAACGGTGCATTTAATGAGGGAAGTCTTCGGTACGCCTTAGTTGTTCCATAGGTGTATAATACTCTCAAGTTCAAAATCTTGGCTTTGATAATCCTATACCTATTGAACAATTCTGGGACCTAGTTCTCAATAAATCCTTTTGCTCCTTAACGAGATTAAACGGCCAGAAAGGACTCTTTCAAGATTATCTAGTTTTAGGTTTGTCACCTATCTTCAGTTCCACTTTTCAGTTGTTTCCTCCCTGATAGTTTTTTTTAGATTTGCTAAGATCATCTCCAATTCTCACAAGTAAATTTCCTGACATCTACTGTGCCTTTTTTCTTGTATTAATATATCGATATTTCATTTCGAAGAAGATTCAAAGGCACTTCTCCCTCTAATACCTATATTGCTGCGTATTGAGAGACACTACAACACCCTCTAGTGACTCATGGTATGGCCTTCCACTCATTTGTCACCAGGTAAGATCACTAGTCGGCCATTGCAGAGGCCCCCAAGCAAGGCAACATTCAATATTTTTTCAGTGCCCCGAAAATTATTGTTTTGTTCTCGTTTATTTCCGCAAATTTTTTGGACCCATCCTATGAGTATCCAACATAAATGTTTTGTGCTTTTTTGTCGCAGTAGAAGGATTGAGATCTCCCTCTGAGAGCTCCGAAGATGATTGTTTTGTATTTATGTAGTACCGTTGTATATTTGGTCTCCAAAATAATTATTTTGTAAATTGGGAGAAATTTATTATATATTTAAATACCTGTAAACCAGACGCAAACATATGTATATATATATATTGCTGGTAAGGAGATCTTACTTCAGACTCTAGCCGAAGGTTACAAACTGAGCCAAACCTGATCTGATCGTCACCAACCCGTTTTTTCGTCGGCACGCAAGGTTCCGATTCCAGGTAAAGGATGCATAACTGATAATATGATGATATGTAGCTGTTTATCGGAAGTCTAAGAAAGCACCCTTCCCAGTCTCCTCCCCTCACCCTGCACCTTACATCTGAGACCGCTCAAGACTAGATATAATTTATTAATTTTGGAGTCTCGTATAATCTTCTTCCAAATTATATGCCGAGCTGGGCGTCTCACTTGGATTTGTACCTTGAATGATTGGATTCATAGTATGAGTACTGTCTAAGAGCCGTCTCAGTGGGATAGATTAGGTATTAACATCTTCAGGCTTAGGTTCATACATCTTTCTTTCTCTCCACATAACTATCAGTTGAAGCACTGTCGATTCATTCACTAGAAAAAAATAAGTAACCAAACCATCTGACACAGCAATTCGCCAAACGACGTTGGCTGACTTGGCCACTGCCATTTACTATTGATAACAACACGAACGCACCATTAGTTTTCCTTTTCAAAAAATTTGTTCTTTGTTTGTTGAACACAACTTTTTTTTCTAAACTATTATTTGTTTTTTCTCGACAATACTTCGCTCTTCAAGATACGAACGAAGTCTCAGCATAGCATCAGAGATTTTCTTGTTCTTACAAGAACTGACAGTATTCTGTTAATAATGGCATTCTTTAAGAAATTGTACATCATTAAGGTCAGACATACGTGTCTATCCGATTTAGGATGCTTCTTATGTCTGTCCCTAACATTACAGAAAACTTCCAGATTGCCGATCTGCCAAACTTTTGGAAAATATTCCCTATCCGTCGACCATTGTGATACCTGGGTAAAACACAATTTCTCCAAAGCCATCATATTTAATAATAATAAAAGAATACTCACAAAACAACAAAACTAGAACTTGCTAATATGTTTTTCGAGGTGTTGCTAAAATAAAACTATAATTACCTGCTTCTGACGCAACATTTATTTGTCTATCAGGTACTTTCCTCATGGTACATAATACTCTTATTGAATATCAAGAATGTCATTTGGAATTTTGCTTTATTTTCGCACGAATTTGCTATTATTATTTTTGCTGCTGTTTATTTGACTATAAAGAGAGAAGCAGAAACCTATTTGGGGATGAATCCTTGACGCAGAACTACCGTGTGTAACTAGTTGGATTCTTGTATTTCATTACTTGTAAACGATTAGTGCATATATAGTTTTGGCAGTGCCGAAAATAATGCGAATGCAAACGACGCAACAGCATCGTATGGGATTGCAGACTATCTGTTTGA